TATTAGGTTCCCACGAAAAGGTCCTTCTTTGTACTATTATCTAAAGTTCTTCATAGGACTCGTATCAAGAACCAATTTAAAGGAAAGAAAAACATTAAAAATGGTTCATTTTGAGTAAGTTTCCAGCATACTGCAGTTCCCCTTTATGCCAACATCCCAAATTCTTTGCGGATTTGCATGTTATCAAGTTTAAACTCAATTTATTTAATGTTCCTTACGAAGAGAAAAAGATCTGTCCCAAGATGTTTTGCGAAAAATTACTCCTCTTTCTTCAGTATTTCGGTGATTTCTTAAATTTGTTTTAAACACGTGTTCATTTTGTGAAGACCATAGAGAAAAAGGCAAAAAAGTAATTGCGTGATAAATATTAAATATTAAAAGAACAGTCCTTTGCTATTATTACCGTTTTTCATTTTACGCTCTCCAGGTTATACTAATTTGTGTGTCCAAAATTTAACTAGGCGCCTGCTATAACAGCATCTTTTTAAACATTAAATAACACTTTATTTGGTAATTTGTGTCCTTCACAAATAACTAAACAAATGTTTTAATAATTTTTTAAATGTATTTGGTTAGGCGTGCGTTTTTAAAATTAGGAAATAAGTCTTAGTGAAGATTTGCCATGCAGTTTCACAAGTGGATCAAACTGCGGCTCCAAACATCTAATGGCAGTTAAATTTTTTCTTTAAAGAAAAATTAGAGGCGGATGTCATTCTGCACCTGCAGGTGCAGTTTTGGTTGGAAGCTACTTTCGCAAGTTCAAACATCCTTTTTGTGGTTGAAAATGGGAGAAAAAAATTTGCCTCCTGTGACTGTGTTACGTCAAGTTTTATTTCTTCCCTTCGAAAGCCCAAATTTACACGTCAAAAAAATATCAGTGTTAAATATCATTTCAGTATCCTCCTATCATTACTCCAAATTTTCACCTGTTTTGAAGGGAAATCAGCCATCTGTTTTCCCTTATTTTGAAATATTGAAGTTGGAAAGTTTTGGAGTGCCAAATTCCAAAAATTTATCTCTTCATCCTGACAGGAGTTAGTAATTTCGGCGGACCGACAGCACACCTCGTGGCGGAGTAAGCAAAAGGCATGGATTTGGGGGATCATCGAATGTGACTTCATTTTACCTGGTGAGGTACACGATTTCCTCATCTTAAGAATTTTTTGTTTTCTTTAAGAGATCTCACTTTTTTTCTCTTCCAAATCGCCCTCCATGCCAATGTCATAAAGCTTGCTCCACTCCATTTGCCCAGTTTTTCTCGCCATCGATAATAAAGGCAACTTATTTCATCCACAAGGACAACTCGGACGCTTTATTGGTGGCCTTGCGAGTGAGGGGTATATCGGACAATTATACCTCCAGCGAAGAATATGGCCACTTTCACTACCACGCTAAAGGAGGTTTTATGCTTCGTTACAATGTCATAAAGCGCCGCCAATGAAAGAAATAACGGGGTCGCTTAATGAATGCGGAGACTAGTCAGAAGTACCCATAGCCACCTCTCACCGTCACAAATTTTGCGTTTCGCAAGTGGTTTCGTAGTGGTGGATTAAAGAAATGCAGTAAAGGAGTTTACGATGCTCACATGAATGGGGGATAAAGACGGGAAATTTGAAGAACTGACGTGACTATCTGTGACGATTGGGCTAGAAATAGTGGAAGAAGGCTAAGAGGCAAAATTAAAGCCAAGCGGACATCAGTTAAGTAAAAAAAGTAAACAAGCAAGTTTTTTTGGCAATTTTTTGCAAAAGAGTCAGAAAGCATTTCAATTTATTGCCCTTACAACATCGCTGCATTGTCCACTTTTGAAAAGATTTTACCACTGGAAGCAAAAAAAATCAGCTGAAGAACTGGCCTTAGTCACCTCTGCTTCTACCTCATGGTTGTTTTTAACCGCCTCCTCAACTTCTCCACGAAATTTGGTTATTATTCTTTTCCAAAGGAGCGAAAACTTGCTGGTTTTGTCGCTAAAAGTCAAGAAAAAAATCCAGCCTAAGTCACCGCACCACCGTCGTCGGTCAGTTGTCTTATCCGCTTTGCATATGACCATGCGGCAATTGTCTGAAACCGTCCGGAAAAGGTGGCACTCACCACTTGGAAAATACGAAGGATAAGTGCCGCAATAAGGCCTTTTTGTAGGTAAGTTAAGCGGCGATGTGCGGTGTAGAACTTGACTGCGTGGGGCTCTTTTCCCACTGACTGACTACTCCTGATCATTTTGACTGCCGGAGCTATGACCTCCGCAGTCCACTGTGTAGGACCTCTAAGAAGTAGATCTAATAAGATGTGACTCCTTGTAATATGTTGATACAAAGTATTTGGTAGAGATTTCCCAACGGCCTCCATCGCGACCTCAACCTAATTGTAATGTGGACACAAACCGACTGTTTCTTCAGCTCTCACGTTGCGCTTGTTCTTGACACCTCAATCTCAGTGGCACCCAATCCCTTAAGGTCAAGTGGAAAAAATCAACCTAACTGTGACTTGTCCATTTCTCAGTGACTCATCACCAAGGTCAAATTAGATTTATCAGCCCTAAGTATGCCCTAATAACTCAAGGAACTATCGAATCATTTCAGTCAGAACCTACCATGGAGAATAAAATCTCAGATCACGGGATGTATAGGCCAAAAAGACAGTAGGAGCCTGGCCAAGAGCTCCTTTAAGAGGGAATGAAGCCTGTCAGTTAATAATCTCCAAAGGTGATCAATCTTTTTTCTGGTCCCCAAACTTTTAAAAATGTTTTTTTCCTGAAAATTCATTTTACCCACAGTAGTACATCAACCAGCCTTTAGGCTCCTGCTCAACACACACTGCTGTCAGGCTAGGAGGCTTAGTACCCTGTTGTTGGAGTGCTACGGCTACTAGGCATCGTTTTTATCTTCGCTTCTGTCTCATGGTTGATTTCATTTGTCATTAACACCACTGTCACGGCGACCGACATGGAGGAGCAATCAAAGGAAGCGCCATGGTCCGACACTCAATGAACAGCATTAATCGGAGTTTTACAGTTTTCTGTGTTCTAGTTCCCACAACAGTGAAATGGCGCCTTGATCTCACCACCTGCATACCTAGACACCCCGCCACTATCTGACTTCCGCATCATAAGTCTCATTCATCAGATTGACCTTTTTCAAATGTCAAATAATGCTACTGATTTAATCTCTTCAAGCCCTTATGATGTTTATTTTGTATGACTTGGTTTATTTATCGCGGCAAATCATCAGCATTGGTCTGCTGTTTTATACACTCACGCTCGTGTAACCTTTTTACACCATAAACAGAAAGTTAATCCTGATTATTCAGGAGCAATTAGCTTATCTGTGATTAGATAATTTCCAATTACCTCACATGTGTTAGGGAAAAATACTTCCCACAAAATTACTTGACTAACACCTTCTTTTCTATAAAACTTGCACAATGCTTAATTGCTCATTTAGAGATTATTTTAACGGAAACAGCATAAATAGACGCATCCCTTTGCACCAATTGTGAACAAGTATATTTTAACCATTTCTAATATTGTTCGTATACGTAAATCGTTTGCAAGTTTTGGTTATTAAAGTACACTATTATCAGTAAAATGAAACTGCTACGCAGCGCTTTGGGGATTTAATTCCTTTACTACCATTTTAGCAAATTGGAAATTGTACTGAATTATTACGTGTATCATCTTCCGTTTTATGAATTTCTTGTCTGCATTTTACTATCTACACACCTACCAAAGCATTCGGCTCCAATTAAATCTTCTCACAAAGTGTGTCGGACGCCAAAGAAAAAAACTTGGTTGATATAAACGCCTCGAAAATTTTAAACTTTGTTGTCACGCTTCCACTCAAACCAATCGCATTTTACATATTACAAAGTATTTTATTTACTAGTCCAACTCGACCGGCTTTTGGCTTTTTGATCGCCATTCTGAGTTAAAAATTACCCCTTGCTGTACTACATTTCCCCTGTTAAATTGCTACTTTTAACTCCCAGCGCCATTAAACGACATAAAAAACCAAACTAATTTTGAATTGTTGCCTTGTTATCAAAGCCATAAATCGATTTCAAAATTTAAACCATTGTTTTAGGAGGCGGGAAATGTTGCGTACTTGTAAGCCTGTATTGTACATTACTAAATGACCAATTTCCTGTCCGAAACATGGTTCCTTCATTTTGTCAATTTTATTGATACGAAGGCGAAAAAAGGGCAGGGTTAATTCAAGATATATATAGCGGCTAATGGGTGATCAAAATTCACGTGTTTGTCAATTGAATTTGAGAAATCGGCACGTTGTTGACGTTTTACGAGACCTCTGTTCGAGTGCCAACTAATAACAGTAGCCCATCCACAAAATTCGAACTCGTTCGAGGCCTTCAAATAAAAATTTTTTGTCTAGGGACCGAAAAGAGTGCAGCGGGTATCACGATTCCCGACGAAATTGTCACATGCAAGATGGAATTTTAAGATAAAAACCATCCTGGATATTTCCCTTACTGGCTATTAGTAACATTTAAATTAGGCGCGTTATTTATAACCCTCAAAGTTGACTTTTCAAAGGCAAAAATTGGAGACGCGCCAGATCAAACGTTAACCGCGTCGGCAGAGTTGACCACCTTTTTTGGACACCCGTTTATAGTCCGCGCGGTTTTGCACGGCGGTTGATTAAAACAAAAACAAATAAAACTGTGCTCTTTTGTGGACTTTTTCAGGTGGCATGAGATTCATTGCAGCAATAATTGGGCCAACAAAGAAACGAAACTAAACTGATGTAAATGGATGATTCGTGTGCATGATGGTCAGTATGTGCAGTTGTTTATTTAAAACAATAAAACTGGAGAATATGATAAATCTTGTTGTTGTCAGGTTGGTGTCAGAAACCGAGTGATTGATTGATTGAGTGGTTGTTTGGTTGACTGATAGGGATAGGTGGAAGGAGGGAAACAAATGCTCATGTTTACAGGTGCTCGGTTGTTTCTTTTTGTGTGCTTGTGTGGGTGTCTCTGCAGCTCTATGCACAGGAACAGGTACACTTGTCACTGATTAGGTACTTTTGAACTTGCCAAGAGCATCGATAACCGCTGGCCGTGACACTTAGCTTCTCGATCAACCGTCTTGCTCTTCGGGCCCGTTGTTCCTCCTGTTGTGCCGGATCCATGGGCATGGAAGCGTCGCGACGTCCCTTTCTTCTGCCCATACGATAGTACCTCCACATTGGAGATGTTTGTTGGGCATATGTCTGTCGCATCCGGCGTCTGGATCCAGGTTCTTGAAGGTGGTATCGTAAATTTATTGTCGGCTGATGGAGAGACCGAGTTTTCCTGCTCAACATAGATCCATCCGCTGACTCAGCTTGAGCTGCATCTTCACAATTCCAATTCAAAAGGCGTAGAACTCGAGACCCCGAAGGTTGGCATTTCATTCCTGGTGGCCAGGAGCACGAAGAACCAAGACGAGCTAGACAAACGCCCATGCGAATCCATCGAGGCCAGTAGAGTGATCCCAGGTCCTTCCAGATAAAGTCCATTTCGCAAGTGGCTTGTTCAATCAACCAATTGCGAAATATCTGGATCTGGGTCTCTGGAAGCAAAAACTGTGCCCCCGTCTGATCTCGAAAGGTCATGTTTAATGCATTGGCTTTGCGAATAAGATTACCATCAACGGAGTTTGCACCCGGAGGATGGGTTCCAGTATCTGAGAGCATTCCAGAAACTCCCCGTTGACGCAGTACGCGAGGTGGTTCCTCGGATGTCCAATATTTATCCTCCTTTCCACCTAGAAGACGCCATAGTCTGTGAATTTTGCGAGGAGATACGTCAGGATGCAGATGACTGACGATGTTAGGATTAATGGGTTGTCCCATAACTCGCATCGATCGTGATGGAGACGAATCCACATCTAAATCTGATGTCCGGGAGGATGTAGGGGGCTCCTTTTTAGTCAGATGACCTAGAGATATGTGGTTCCGATTGGATAGAGATAATCCCATGCCTCCAGAAACAACTGTCTCACCTGATTTTGACATTAGCGTGGAAGAAGACGAGGAGGTGGGTGAGGAAGAGGAGGCGGATGTTAAAATAGGTCCAGAATGTGGTCTCCTCTGGTAGTATAGTGCTGCGAGACCACTTGAATGATCATTGGAGAGATTAAAGTTCGCGGAAACAACTGTAAGGGAGATAAGAGGGTAGAGGAGAAGCAGGAAAAACCGAAAGAATCCTGGACCCGTTTCACCAGTATGCATAGACATAATAGTGAAGGTGGTGGCGACGTTGATAGTAATGGCTACTGGAGCATAATTCTGACGCGTCTGAGTGACACGAATCTCCGAGTGGCGCTGACTGGCAGGTGATTGGTCGAGGCTGCCGATGTGTCTCGCATCCAAACTGACCAATCAGGTTGGGGCATTTGACCGCGCTGTTTGCTTTTGATTTATGAAACTTTGGATAATCTAATTGGCCTCACTATTGTCTTGAAGAAAATGGAAGAAATTCCTTTTAGTTCGGTGATGTTGGGTTCACAAATCTTTAATTTTTGTTCCTTCTTGGCAGTTTGTAATAACTGGTCACACAAGCGGATGGGATTGGCTTGAGTAGCTAATGAGCCGATCATTCCACGAGGACGAGGGATGCTGTCAGGCTTAAACAGTGGGCATTGGTGGTGTACTTCGGCCTCCTCCCTCTCTTCTCTTCCTCTTCTTTCTTCCTAGACCCAATCATCGAGGAATTACAAGAACCCAAAATTTATTTGACTGGCTTATTTTGAAGCACCTCAAAACGGAGTTCAAACAAAAAAGCCATCAAAGGGGAACCCTGATGGATGATTTCTAAAATTTCTCTCAAAATTTGATGCTAATACCTTGATCAAAAAACACCTAAACTAGCAGTTCTTCCAAATTTATGCAGCTAATTTGTTTATCTTTTCCTATTATTTTCCTTAACTTTTTTAAGTTGGTCAGTCATTTAATAACTACATAGAAAGTTTTCCCATTAGTCAGCCAATCCAATATAAGTTAACTTTTTTTAGAAATGCGCTTATTTCTACTGCAGAAAGCTGTAGCTGGATTTGCAAAATATTTTAATTAAACTAGTTACCTAATGGTTTTGAACACACTTTGCCTAAAATGACCACCCAGTAGTTTCTTTTGTGTTCGGTGGGAGGATGAATTCTTATTTTCTACCTCAAAAAAGATACCACTAAATGGGAGGAATAAGCGATGGCAAGTGGCAGGGTCGGCGTTTGTTACGTGACTAATAGGTAGTCTTTGTATTCCCCTAATGTTGAGTGTTTATGTTTCGGGTAGAAATTTCCTCGCAATCGAAGGAGCCATGGTTTGTGTGTGTGTGTGTGTGTGTCTCAAAAGCTGACGTCCACTTCTGTCGGTGTGGGGACTAAGTTCTGTGTCTCGAAGTGTCAGGAGGGAGTAGTGTGTTAAAAAGACCAAAAGTGGCAAAAATGGTGCACGCTAAACACCACCGGTAGGCCAGTAAGCATGAGGAATGAAGAAAAATTATCGGCAAACCTTGTGGAATAGGTGAGGAAGTATTGCAGGACCTGGAGGTGAAGACAATGGCCTCTAATGCACCTCCATGCATTTACGCACAGTAAAATGTGTGATTCCCCTTTGCTGTCGGAGAAGCACCAGCACTCTCCCTTAAAATCAATCAATTATCCATTTACCGACTACTTATCCCCTTTGTCTTGTGACAAATAACCGAGCAGAACGCCATTCTTAAGGTTGAAATTGGATAAATGGGTAGAGCGTTAACAGCATATGAGAAATATCCACCTCTTCAGACGGTTGGGATTCGTCACTTTGTTATCACAGGGGAGTTGGCGAGGTGAAATCTAGCTTTCTTCATATCTAGTCAATAATATGAACATCATCATGACATCAAATTGCCTAACATATGCAAATCAGCTGCCCATCAATTGTCAAAAGTATTTTATCGGTACCACGCAAAATCTGGCCAAACGATAAATCCCCTTCAACTAGACGGAATTGATGGATGTATGGATAGAGTTGATTGCGGAATGGAAAGACATCTCCAAGTTTAGATTCAAATTGATGGAGGGACCGAATCAAGTTGGATAGATGCATTTGATATAATACCATGCCGGTGATTTCCAGGGCGTGGGATTTAACTGCTCCACCGAACCTCCACTCTCGAAAATACTGTACGTACTCACAGATTTACCATCGAGTCCACTTGGCGCTTGTCATTTTTTACCCAACCCAGCAGTTGTTAAATGTTCCCCTATTTCAAATGTAAAGAACCTATCATATCTTTAATCAAAACGACTTATTTGATCGACTCTTTGCAGCGAGTACGAAGCGCCTCTTCGCTGACTTCTATATAGCGCCCCCACTTTTCCGCCGATAAGTAGTCCACGACGAACTTTAGCATGACCTCAGCCTACTCACGCCATGCCTCTTCTTCAACTCGACACTTACAGAAGATAAAAAGAGACACTGAATTTTTGTGCCTTCTTTATTAGCGATAAAGTGCAACAAACTTTTGCAATCTTCCCCATAATTCATTACCACCAGTATCGATGCTATGTAGCCCTGTGCTCCTTTCTTTCCTTCAAACGGTTGCTTCACTCTCACCGACCAACTCGACCGAGCCACCAATTTCGCAATAAATTCGCGGCCTTCTTTGTTTGTGTGTGCGTGCGTACGTGCGTGCGTGCACCCTCTTGTGTACTTTGAATGAGTACAAGTTGTTAAGCCCCTGACTGCTTTCTTGCTGCCATTCTACTCGTTTACTCGAGTGCGTACGTGAGTGCGAGCAAGCGTGCGGGCTCTCGTGTTAACGTGCACTCGTGCGTTCGTGCGTGCGTGCGAGCTTTTGTCGTGCCTCTTGGCGAGAGCGCAGCGGTGTTGTTCACTGCATCGTGCTTTGGATCTCGACCAAATGCAAAAAAAGGCCCACGCGGTGATTTAAGGCCAACTTGTGTTGCGCCTAAACGCCACTCACCCAATGCATTGGCTATCGATTTTCGCTTGGACCCAATCATAAAATCGATATTTGGGTAGCATGAGATGCGTGAGCAGTAAACACCTAGTGAAGGGGACTTGAAAATCGATAATAAGGGAGAGCAGTTGTCAAAATCAAATAATTAACTTATTTGTAGTAGTTTTAAAAAAAAAAGTTAGTAAATCCACTTATAATAGATGAGATGGAGTCTTTCCAAAAATAAGTGTATATTTTAGAGTAAAGATTGCGGCCTGAAAGGGCGGGTGGATGGAGAGTCGAAAAATGAATCACATCCATAAATCATTAACTTTATTGTGTGAACGATGCTCAGCCCTATGGATGTGAACAAAATGTGATTCATTTATTGGCTGTGTGTTTACTCAGGTGAATGGAGATTGATTGGTGTAGGGGTATGCGTATCCAAGACATTCACCTCTCTGCTAAGCCTATATATTTATGCTTTTAAAATTTAGCTGATTGTCTTCTTAAAGAAAAAGTTGGTTTCATCACACCAAAAAAGGGAGTTGAAAGTATTTAGCAACATTTGGCATTCCTTCTTATTGCGTGACACTCAAAGGGGACAATTTTATAGCTAACGTCTTCTGAAGGTAGGCATTAATCTTTCTAATGATCTTAAGGCAATAAGCAGCCGGTGAAAGTCCACATTCTCGAGCTACAGGCATGCAAACAAATGGACGCTTTTGGTAGCTTGAGAAACTAGCTTCACAAGACAATAAAAGGTAGCAGTAGGAACAATCGGCTCCAGTCATGCATCGGTAGCCATAACAGAGTGAAGACTCTACAGCTGAATTACATGGTTATAAAAATATTTTAGGCTTATTTATATAAACGTTTTCTGCCTCTGTGTTTCAACAGCAGAGGTAACTGTTAATAAACCTTAGTTGTTTAAAAAAACCGTTGTTTAGATACTGACATTGTGCATGCAGAAAAACTTGAGGCTGTCGGAAAGCCCGGGATGGACAAATTCAACACCCACAATTTTTTGTTATTCTTCTGTCATAGCAAAGTTGTCAGTCGGTCAACTTTTTAGCATCACTTTTGTCCACCTGTAAATGATGCCTGTGTGCAGGGAGAGAATGCTGCCTTCATACCTAGGGAACATACCAACTGAAGATGAATTTGTCCCCTCCACCCTGCCTCTCCAGCAGGCAAACACGGAAAGAAAGCTGCATCTTCTGCGTTGGTATAGCTTACCTAAAAGAGATGCGAAGAGTTTACACCATGTTGACATGTTTTGTTACAAATTGAAATAGAAAAGGGAGATTTAAGTTAAGTGAATACCTGTTGGAAAAACAAGTCCGCAGAAAAAGTGTATATCAGCTATTTGGCAGGAAGAAGGCAGCTTGATGTGATGCACAGGCAACTCCACGTGCTTTTCTGCTTTTATCGATGGGAAGCCCGACGGAATCCGTGCAGATTAACAACCATCAATGAGGTTGAGAGTCCTCTTAGAGCTAGCAAAATTCTCTGCTGACTCCAATTTTTGAGAACATTTCTTTTATGGGGGAGATTAATCATACAGGCGGGAGCTTAAAACAGGATGAGAGGGTAGGAGAGGGAGAGATGTCTGCTTTAATTATGCATGGTAGATTGCCACACTGGCGCCTCCCAGGCTTTCAACTACTGCGACATTTGTGACCGCTTGGTGGGGTATACTCGACACATCTTCTGCACACCGGACCAAGAGTATGACCACTTCAGCTGGCATAAAAAACCATTTTGATATAAAATTTCCCATTTTGTTTCGATCATCGCCTTCCAACAAGAACTTCTTGAAGTTCTGTGACCGTTAAAATGCATGAATGTATTCTAATGCAGAAATGCACTTCAACCTATCGCTATAGTATTTCTTATCGCACTGTTTACTAGGCCTTCCTCTTCCTCCTTTCCCCCTCCCCTTCCTCGTCAATGTAAATCTCAGTCCATAAATTCGAAGTCGCATTTGATAAAGACGATCCGTATGGTATGCTATATGAGTCGATTTTAATTTGGTACATTACCAAAGCAACCTCAGTCACCCCTTTCTCCTCCTCTCCTCTACACTTTCTTCAAAAAGAACAAAAAATGGCTTTTTTGTGAGCATACACGAAAGTTACGAGACCGCTTTTAGGTGCCTGCAAAATTTGTACACTTTTCCGATCTCTTCATTGGAGCTTTAGGGTTCAAATTGTAGAGTCTTGCACATAGTTCCATAAGTTGGTGTTCCCTACTGCCCACCTGTCATTTTGAACCATCATGCATCGGGTGTCGGTTGATCCGGTTAAGCCAGTTGAACCGGTTGAACTTGGTGAGGGATGTTCTTGTTCATTCTTGTGATGCTCCACATTCAAGGTGTAGAAGTTGCTTGTCAACGCTTGCCCAAACATAGTTTTGACCATTTGGATTGGATCTGGTGACAATACCTCAGTTTGGTGAGTCGTGTCGTGAGGACCGACGTGTCACTGAGCCTTAGGTGTCCGGCGCTTGACGTGAATGACAATATAACTGGGTTATGCTACTGAGGAACTTAGTGACACATGTCATCCACAAACCCATGGAAGCCAGTAAGCTTCACAGACTGACGGCCTTGTGATAAAAAGTAGTTTTCATTATTCTACATGCCAGTGGCGTTAAGTATCGTCCTGCCTCATTCGCACCTCATCCTCGTTCCTCCACAATTCGTCCGATGTAAGCCTTTCCTGAAGCTGAAATCTTTTTCGAACAGGTTATGTGCTGCTTTACAGAAATGAGGAAGGATAGTTATGGTGTTTGAAGTTTTCCATCTGAGTTGTAGCCACCCAATAATTAATAGGGGCGTTGTCAGGCGTACACACCTCGAGGTAATATTTTTATATACCTGTGAATGGATTTGAAAAGGTGGGTGTGGTGCAGAAGCTTGTCTTAGATAGTATAAGCAAAGTTGTATTTCCCTTTTTTTCTTGAGCACGCAATTTAATACCCGCTTCAGTCTTCTAATACTCGACAATCAACCGCATGAAATGAACTACCGTCGTTCGGATCCTGCACATGAATTTAGAGTTGGGCTTTCTCGGGCCCTCTGTTGTGGGTCCTTGTGATTTCAGCCATTATTTCATAACGCCTACTGCATCTTAATTGGCGGAGGTAAACAGTTCAAAACTTGCCAACTCCTAGGCTCGATTGCTGGACATTGAAAAAGCAGAAAATGAGCCAAATTTGCAACCAAAAATGCAGCCCAGTCTTTCTTTTGGCCACTGTGTTGGCCCAATTACCGGTAAACCACGAAAAACACCTCAGTTTAAGTTAGAAACGCAATAAGAGAGGGCGAAACGGGGAGGGTGGTGGCCTAGGTTTCACCAACGCGGTAGGTGAATCATGAATGGATGCATCCCAGGGACGAAAAATCACCCTCACAATGAGTGACACGCGAACAACTGTTGGCGTGCCGGAAGTAGAGGACAGGGCGCTGAGGGAGGCGAGCGGAGCGGCAGGAGGGCGGCAGCGGCAAAATTTTATGCCCAATACTGCCGTTTGTCCGTTCCCCTTTTGCACGCGTCAGTGTTTTTCTACGAATGTGGGGTTTTCAAAGGCGACTGTTAAACGTCGTCGCCCAATTAGTAGGGAGAAACCCTGGCTGTCCTGAGCTGGACAAATATTAGCTACAGAAATAAAACTCTTGTCTTCTTGATCTTCCACTTCCTAAAGGCAAAAGAAAATGATGAAGGGAAGCGACGATGCCTTTTGATGGTTGCAAGGAAGGAGAAAAACCAAAACTTGGCAACAGTGGTTTAGCATTGGGGGAAAAAGGACCGGAAATAGAAAGACGTTTCGGTGGTGCGGCTACTAATTGATTTTGCCTTCAGGCAAAAGCTCCTGTCAAAAGCGATTGATGGAGAAAGGGTATTTTGTGAAGAACACAGGTTTTTTGAACTACATGGGAGAGAATAGCGGCGAAGGCGATTGTGCATTAGTAAGTTGCCGAGGTGCTCCTTGTATGCAGTTTGCTGCAAACCCTCATTTATCAACAAAATATTAGTCTGACAAACTGAAGGAACGTGATTTGAGCCCGTCTGGCGCAATGAGGGGCGAAGAAGTTGCCTTTCAAAGTTGTGTAAGTCTCCCTGCCAATTTTAGTACTTCCTGCTTGAAGCAGACGAAATAAGAATGCTCACCATCCAGAAATGGGTAATGCATCACCTTAAAGAATACGGCTGACGTGGGCCACCACCTGGATTAAGGGGTCCCAAGAGCGGTACAAAATGTGTTTCCTGACGTGTCAACTGGGAGGAGAGAAAAGCATAAGAAATGCCACAGACTACACATTTATGAATTCCCTGTTTATTATTAGCTTCGTCGCTTCACCTCCTCGACTGGTAGACTTGCACTTTGTTGGTCACCTTGGGAAGGCTTGAAATTAGCCGCGGGAATTTTTTTGTATTGAATATTAATTTTGACACATCTTAAGTGGTGCTCGGTCCTAAAAATGACAAAGAGGGATTAAATCAGGACGAACTTATGCCGAGTCTCTGCATGACACGCGATTGGTGTACAAAAATCACCCGCTGCAGAGTATTTTCTAGTCTTACACAATACTAAGTCAGCGAATCGCCCACGATTAGGTCACAAGCAGAGAAGGTGCCACATGAATCCCCTTAAAATTCTTTGTCGAGGAGAATCTTCTTATTATGGAAAAGTATTGTCGGGAACCATTTGCCTTTATCCCCCTTGGAAGTGATGCTGAGGATATGACAAGGGGTAAGAAATAGATGGATGACGGCTTTAATTATGCATGGTAAAACTCTGCACTGGCGACTCCCAAACCCTTCTAATAGCCACTTCTGGACGCTATATTTGCCTCTAACAAGAGTATGACCGCTTTTACTGACACCTCCGGAAATAATCCCTTCAACTAATAATTTTTTTTAAGGGGGGGGAGGAAAGAAAAGTTGTAAAGAAGAGAAATTTCTTGTGCGGATTCCTTAGTAGAGGTGACTTGCCTTACTTTCAAGTGCCAAGAAGTCTTAAGAAACTTGAACTGGCTATTTTCCACCAGTGAATCTATACACCATCTGTAATTCACATAAAAACGGCAAATTACTTAATGTTCCCTAAGGGCTTGCAATAAACTTTGATTCATGTCAAGGTAAGGTAGGAAAAGTTGTGGGAGAATGGAGCTGAACGGTGAAACACTGCCACCATAGGGAGAGAACAAGGGTAGGGGAAAATTGTCACTTATTCGTTGCTGATGGTTAGCTGAATCATTCATTTGTATGCAATGGCAGCAAAAGCAAATAAACAAATGGAAAGAGACTTTTCTGTTCATTTGATAAGTACATATCCTGTGGCTTTATGGCCTTCTTATTCATTGTAAGATGTGCGTTTATTGGTTGATAAATTAGTTGTCATAATATAAAGTCTCTTTTTTTCTAGATCTGGATAAGTTGGACCCAATTGTGACCGAAAAATGGTGATACATGTTGGACATTTTTTAATGTCTTGCCCCAACAAGAATCGACTGTTTGATACCCCTCCTAGGGGCGATTGGAACTTCAGAGCTTCAATGCAAAAGAGACAAAAAGGCGGCCAAACTGCATCGTTCTCGAGTTCTGCCATGAGGGGAGAACTGGACAGTGAACTAGACGAAGTCATTAGTATGGGCTGCAAATCTGGTATCTCTTCATCTATCATTAACCAAAAGGATGAATAAAGAATGAACCTCAAAGGCATTAGCAAGGTTTGGTTCCCTAAGTCTTCTCCCCACAGAAAAAAAAGAACCCTTAAATGATCCTCTTTTCCTCGACTACTGGTGAAGTAATTGAGATGCTACGAGAGAGAAATTATCGAGAGGAGAGAAAGGAAACCCATCTTTGGTGATATTTTGTGAAGCTTTAGGGAATGCAGAATGACAAGAAGGTTCTGCGCCGATAAAAAAGAAAAGGAAAAAGAAAAAACATAGAGACGATTATTTGGCTGGGTTTCTGTTCTTTTACAAGCCCCTAAAATGATCGGGTAAGTTTTTAAATAAGTTTTTATCCACGCTTTTACTTCTCCGAGGCTTATCTGACGTTTTAGAAAAGGTGGTTTACATGAAAACTTTGTAAAGGGTTTTGTATTTACGACTGAATTGTCTTCCAGATTGGGTAGACCTCCCTTTAGCAAATACATGTCTTCTGCTGAAAACAGAATTAATGTCGAGATTGGCGACATTTAAGACAAATTTTACTTCTAGTTAATTCTAATTGTCTTTATGTCAATTCTCCCTTCTAAATATCTGAAAATAAAATAGGTTTTTCCTGAAATTCTCTTGATCAGCTAGTAGTCTGCCGCCTCTGCTGTATACTGGTAAATAGTATGTTCTCTCATGCTATTTTGACTCATTGCGACCTCAGAGAAGACTCGTAGCTGCTGTAGGTCTCACTGCCGGCATCGATGTAATATTTTAGCACTTATTCTCTTCCACCTTCACTTTTAGACCCCTGCATTAAAGCATTTGGTTAGGAGACATCTTTATCTCCTAATGTAAAAGAAGTTGACAAGTAGTTTAAGTTTTATGGGAGGGAGAGTCAGGGTTTGTCATGTTCTCCTTGATGAGTTAAAAGACGATGGCCCCCTTATCACCTTAGGTCATCTCGGAGGGCGTAATATGCAGACCTATCGTCAATCTAACAAAGAACTAGACCTGAACTATCTGCCACCGATCAGGAGGTCGAGAAACGGCTTGTTTTTTTAAGTGTCTGCTTCACACAGCACGTCCTATCGTTCTTTCCACATGTGGAATAGCGCCTCTTCTTTTATCCAGCGTTGTAGCAGAGTGGCTTTCCCTCACATTACTATCAGAAATCAAAGGCGTGAAAGCGATTATTCAAAGACGGTGATAAAAACACCACCACAGTAGTTGTAAGTGATTTGGTCAGGGGAGGGAATAATTTCAATTAATTATAATGGAACGATGAAAAATGCCCACCTTTGACTTCTTCCGGTTAATCAAAGGGGCAAAGAAATATTTTTCCTCAAATTCTCTATTTCTTTACGTGGTGCGGACTGGTTTAATTGAATTGTACATCGATTAGCATCCGCTAAGCGTGGATTAGCAATACTCTCCAATCATATTTGTCAACGGCTTCTCGACGAAAATTATGATTTGTTAACTTTGCAACGCTGATAGTACGATAAGTAGTGTATTCTGAGGTCGCGGCAACTTTAAAATAGGCGCTTTTGCAATTTTATCGACCTATACTTATGTCAGCTGATCGAATACGACGGCGTGTTAATAATCGATATCTCGTCAGCTGGGCTTCTAAAAAATCAATACATCGCGGTAAACAGCTGATTTGACTGCAGCAACCATTAAACGCCGATTTGCGTGTGCGCAGCATCTCATTTTTTGGATAAAAAGGGAATTTCGTAAAAATTTTTCCCCTAAAGTAGGTAATACGATAGCGTTACGCGCGTCAGCAGAATGTGCTACTAATGTGCGGAAATTTGACGGCACAATATTAAAGAAATGAAGAAAAAAACTAAAAAAGGGGAACTAATTGGAAGGATGTGAAAGGGGTACAGATGCCAATCCTGCACCTTAAACACGACTGCCCCAATGGGACGTATTGCTAAGGAGGAAATAGAAAAGAAATTACTTTTACGAATTGAGAATGTATAGACCCTGTGTTTGAATAGATGAACAATGACACTATTTCTACAGCCCGGTGGATTCACATTCAAACGATTTTTGAAATCAAGCATATATTAAGACATTTCTGGTCAGAAACAGATGATATGCTGTCAGTAGTCAGGCTTGTCAAGAGGGCGACCTATTTGACAATGAATGTTGGTCTTCCGAGGAAGAGGAGGAAAAAAAAAGGCAGTCATTGCATTTGGTGAGAAAATCCGCGAATCTTCTAGCTACTCCTGCAGTCATGTGTGTTACCAAAAAAGATTTTATTATATGCATAGGTCAATACTGTAAGCCTGCCAAGCACTTTTCTTCTTTATTTAGAAAAATGGGCTTATCAAATAGCCACTATAGACTGAAAGGATGATAGCACTGCTTTTCCCAACAAGAAAAGTTGGAAAGAGTCAATCAGTCAAAGGAGAGAGCCCCTACCCCTTAGCCTCATACCACCTCCAAACCCACTCATGAGGAAACTTGTGCCTTATATTGGGGACAGGGATAGAGAAGGAAGGGAAAATAGAAAAATGACGACACTACCTGGTTGTCACCTTTCCTTCCCAGTCTTAGCCAATCATCACACAATCAAGTAAAAAGCAGAGAAGCCGTTTGGGAAATAGGGCTTTAAGGGATAACGCAGTTTCCAAAAAGGGGGATTGACAGGAAGGGCGGAAGGCAGCTTTGTTTATTTTGTAACATAACAGAAGAGAGGGAGGAGTCGCCAATCGGTACAGCAGCCTTCTTTCCTGTTGCATTTGCCGATCAGGCGGATGCTCCACTTTACCTAGAACCTTCTTTTTAAAGATGTCATGGCCATAGAAACCGGAATAATAGTGTTGCGCTTTGGCCAAAACCTTGATTTGTCATCAACTCAAAGAAGCCCGGGTAAGTCACCAGAATAGGTGGTAACAAGGCCAAAGCTCAATGTCAAGGGATGTTGATCTCAGAATTAATTTTATTAAAGCAGGATCAAGATATAGATCAAAGAGAAGGGTCTTGTCAATCTTGGTGGCATCAGCACACGCCGTTCGACAACGTTTGGCGCGTGGCTGTCATTTGGCCTGACCTCTCCCCCCATTAATCTCCCTCTTTTAGCCTTCTGTTTATTGCGTCAAAGGTTTGCCTCCATGCTGTAGTTATATTACACCAGACGCCGTGTGAGGTTATTAAACGGGCTACGTCGGCCATTAAATGTATTAGCAAAGAATCGGCTGTCATGTAGTGACATCGAATAGGCACCAACTTTTAAATAATCCACTTGGAGAGCGACTAATACTTTGAAGATTTTTCCCTTAGAGGGAAAACTAAACTTTTTTAGAGCAAAAGTTTGAGCCACTTCTTGACCAACAAATCAACAGAACTACTCCTGGCGACAAAGACCTCTCAAAAATCTGGAGGTGTAGTCCCAAAAAATGTTGTGACTAGCAAACTTTGAACATCAAACCTTTTTAAAAGGTACAGTCATGGAGTATGTTTGGAGGAGAAGTCCTGGAACCACACATCACCATAAAGCACTTCAACGCCCTTTTAAAAATAATCCTTCTCCTTAATATACAGGCCATAAGGCTCCAGCATACTCCTGCATTGGACTTAGAGCACGAAACCATTGATTAGAAAGCACAGACTCATACAAAAAGATAAGATACCTAACTAAACAACCTGCGACATCACCCGCCTCTCAAGCTGGTTGAGTTGTCCCCTTCTAGAGCGACACGAAATTTACTTGCGGCGGCTCCAATTAATGAATACATCGGGGGAGAATGCGCGATTATAGGAAGAATGGATGGATCAAGAGCGGACGAATTCACAGGAGATAAGTTGACTTAGGATGGATAGAGAGGTGAATGCATGGATACGAGATGGATGGGCGTGGGAAGAGTGGAAAATATTCCGAATTTTCTCAACGCCGAAGAATCTTGCATAGCATACGTCGAAACTTGATTTCTAAACTTAATTTTAAAAGGCCCGTGAAACCTAATGATAATGCGATTCGAGAAAAGCTACTGTTGGTGGAGGAAAATGCACCTTTGTCCGTTCCAGATTTTAACCTCTTCTTCAAATTCCAAAAAAGACTTGACTAAATAATTTTGTTGTTCTTTGGGCTAAAGTTCTTCCTCATATAAGTAAAAGCTAATCAATCCTTCCTCCTCCTCCGCCTATTTCGTTACGATGACCTCCATGTTTTGCAAATTTCATCCCTCATCCACGGAAAACATAGAGCTGGGGAGGATTAGGAAGACACGGGACTGATGACTGGGTCAGGATTGTAACCCCTCCTTCTCCCTCTCCCTTTTACTCCAGTGACTCACGTTCCCACGGTCAATCATAATCACCTTTAAAATTTGACCCAGCTTGATGGGTCACAGGCAGTAGATGATTTTCAGGCGCGTGAATGTTCTTAGGGTGGAACCATTAGCTGTGGTATTAGCCACAATGTCAGAAATAGGTTTTACACAAGGGCTCTTCTGTCAATTATTGCCCAGCCTCCTAGATGTAACACTCATCTACTTTTGAAACCTATCTCCATGGTTCTTTCAATGGCAGAAGTGATCTGTATCCCACACACACCTTTCACTCTTTATTCCGTTGATTTATGGTTCTTCAGGAGAGTCATACATACCTCTTCAACCAACAGAGCAGTGCTTCATACTCCTGGATGACACTTACTACTCACAACTTTCTCAGCAACCATACCTTAGAGATGATAACTCTAACAAAAGTAAGCATATACCATAATCTGAGACAACAAAGTAAGGGGCATGTTTTGAAAAGCAAAGTCAACATTTTTAAGACCATCTCATTCCATGTGCCGAGAGAAAACGCGCATACACCCGGTTTGGCAATCACCAAGAGTGACAAGGCGACAAAAGTGTGGGGATTTCTCACCACTAGAGGTGGATGCTTCAACCGAACTAACAACTTTTCGTCACCCAAGCAGTTCATAAATCTAACCGCAAAACTGGGGCAAAAAAGGGCGAAACAATTTCCACTCCGTTGGAATAGTTTTCCTTTTTTTTACAAAAATTGCAGAGAGGGAAATACTTAACATTTAGGTGAATTCAAGACCGGAGTTACCTGGAAGGGAAATGCTACAACACTACAAATAGATTAATCAAAAGTGAAAGCGTTGTCATCCACCTTGTCAAGCGATACAGTTGTCCAATTAATACGCATTTTTTTTCACCTTTGGATGAATACCTTCATTTGTTTGGTTATAGTACAAATTGAAGAGGAAAAAAATGGGAAGGTCTTAAAAAAAACTGCAAGGACAATCCCAATTTTTAAATTAGGTCTTCTTGATTATTTTCACCTACCTGGTTAATTTTATTTGGGTGATTGGCAGATATCATCAATCGATTCCGTGGCACCTCGATGGCATCTGAAAGGAGTTAATAGGTCAATAACAAAGTCTGGAAGTAACGATTTAGCCACAAATTAGTAAGCATTCCTCTTATTAAGAAATCAACCGTCCATCAAAAGTAGCATTTGACAGGTATCATTGGCAAGCCTTTTCACCTATGCATAAATCCTTTCTTTCGCTTCATTGAGACAAATTTTATAAAGAAAATGCTGTTTTTTTAAACTCTTTTTAAATAAAAACATTTTTCAGTAAGGATGAATTTTTTACTTATCCGGTCATTATCTAGGTGAGTGACAGGCATTAAATGATCGGACCCGTAAAACTTCGAGGGCATTGTGACACCTAGGCGTCTAAATGTAATTAGGATCTCAATGGAAAAGCACCATTCTGTGCTTATTTTTCTCCTTCTTCTAGAAGAGTGGTACTTTAAAACTATTTTAAACAAAGTCTTATAAATTCAGGAACAAAAAGACGATTCGTGGCATAGGTAAACTGCTTTTCATGCATCAATTAAACATGTATTAAAACAATTCATTTTATCGACGTGTAGCTGTTGCTGATTTTTTCACGAAATTTGTCTTCAGAAGTGAGTGGCGCAAATCAACAAGCGAGTACATCGTAACTCCCGGTTAAGGGGTTGGTAGGAGAGGAGGCGAGGGGAGACAAAAAAGAATACAAGAAGACGTGATAACCAACTCAAGGTGGCATAGAACTGCAGTGAGTGTCTCCTTTTACCCTCAATTCCAAGGTCAAGATACGGCATTTGCCGCCAAGGCAGGTAGCATATCAAATTACGCCCTCAAGTGCACGTCGACAAAAAAGTCCTTTTTTCTCATTTCACCGCTTCTCATCAAGCCACTTTTATCACACTCCGGCAGGGCAAACACTTTGGCAGTGCTAAAGAAAAGTAGTCCACTTTCTTTTTTAAGGAAAACTTATCCGAAAGGTTTGATATTTACATAAGCAACAAGTGCAAAGTATTCTTGTCTCCTTGTTAATTATCTAGCCTTGGTCACTATTGTTTTCGTTTCACTGGTAGTCCTTTCAAATGTCTCCTCTACTTTCCATACGACACTATGAAGATTGTCCAAAGCTGTCAATAAAAGTTGACATCCACCATGTAGAGGATAAGGATGTGGTGGTGTCGCTGCCTCTGTTCCCCAACCACAAGAAACAAATCTTCTCACGGGTGATTTGAGGCACAGAATGTTCTTCTGACTGATTCTTGCCTCCTTCTGGCCCATAATTAAGTCATTCCGAGTGGTGGACAGACCTTAGGCTTGCCTGTTTGGCCCCCAGGATCTTGTGGAGATGGTGTGACAAAGTAGGGAATGGTTAGTATGAGGATCAAGTAGAGGCTGGACCACAAAAGCTCCTTCTCATCACAAATCAGTCAGTCACCAGACAATCCAAAATGCAGTCTTCTCCGCAACATTGCAGGCACCAAAATCGTTCAGCCGCCACACCGGCTCTTCCTTCTCCGCTGACGTACGAGGGGAAAACCAGTTGATGCGTCATAAATCATTTTAGAGACTCTGGAGGCTATAAAAAACTAGACAACCTCGATATCATTCTCCATCGGATGCAGCCATCAGATCAATAGTGAAGAGAACAATGAAGGTTGGCACTCAGACAAACTATGGCATGCTTGGGTCAACTGTATACGCCATACAGGTCCTTACAACCTACAATCAACCTATGTAAGCACTAGGCATTGTATTTATTCTTCGCTGCCTTCTATTCTGCTCCACTTTTTCTCCAGCATACTTCAACAATGAGGCAAAGTGGAGCCGTCATATTGTACTTACCTTGAAAAACGAGCGTTCAAGATTTTGTCCTTCTTTTCTGTAAACATGTTGAAGTGGTATAAGAAAGGAATCCTCGAGCCACGATAATCCATCAGCGTTTGATATCCTCCCAGTCAGGCGCAAAAAAGGTCACCTGATGTAAGATTTTTTTCTCAGCTGCTTCAACGGCACACATTGCCCTCTTTTCGCCAAACATTTCGCATCGGAATAAAACAGTTTGATAATATATGTAAAAATTAGAAAGTTTCTTTTTGCGAACGCCTCCCTCCCTTCTCAAATACTGATAAATTGCCTTTTTCGGTCATTCGATAAACAGTGGGAGAAAAAATTCACAAAAAGGGATTATTCTGTATCGGGTTCAGCGTTATAAAGGTGTTGGGGAGTCGAGGTTATGGGTTTTTGGAGGCTGCCCCTTCCTCCACAGGAGTCAGCGGTGTCCACTCAGTCAGACGGTTCGCGTATCCTGACCGCTTCGTCCCAAATTGTGCATTTGAACGAATATGTTTTAAAATTCCTTCTTAAGAAAAAAAATTCTAAGTTAACTGCCTATATTTTACACTTGCTTTTGACAGGATCTTTTTGTGTTCCCCACCAAGCCTGAATAGCTGTCGGTTGTGTTCGTACATTTAAGTGGTATTTAGCTAGGTGGAGAGAATGCATTATGTTTATTTTGCAAATAAACTTATCCCTTTTTTATTTAACATCTTCCTAAATAGATTGATATTTATCAAAAAGATGTCAATGAAACTGAAAGCCTAATTTACCGAAAAATCGGGGTAAATAATGAGGGAAAAGCGGGGCAAATTTTTTGTGTAATGCTGAAAGACAACGTTAGAGGGCAGCAATGACGCCGTGATGGCGCTTTCAAAAGGTGAGGAATTTTAAAGCCTACATTATCAAATTAACCCTACTTCAAACAGGCAACGGGAGTGGGCTTTTGAGAGCACCGCCTGGGGTCCTGCCTTTCCTGCTATGAGGCAAATCAGGTTGTGATAGGGCAAAATCACTTCATCCATTAGTGCTGCGAAATGCACCAGTTTCCCAGACCTATAATGGTCTATGTGTGCGGCGTTTTTTGCCCTGTGATTTCTGTGGGAAGACCCATTGTACCCGCGCGTTTCTGTCGGTGTGGGGGGTAGAGAAGGTGGTAGGTGGTATGCACACACACACACGCACACACATAGGGAGGGAAATTTTTGTTTCCTCACCAGCTGTTACCGCTTGTCAAAGATAAAAACACATAGGATAACACACGGCCATAAATACACACACAAACACGTAGATATATACACACATTGAAGAATTCCTGCATGGCGCCAAGCCACACAAAGAGGCAGAGAGACATTAATACTCACCGCGGTAGGCGTCTATCCTAAAAATCAGTAAATTTGATCCTCATTTTTATTATTTCCTCCAAACTTGGTCGAGTTTTACCTCCCCATGGAACTGTTGGGTTATGGCGCCTCCGCGTTGGTGCTCAATCCGCATTATCGACTTGTAAACCAACAGCTGACCGAATATCGATCGGTCTTGGACAACCTCAAATCCACTCAGCTGGCGGAAAGTACAAGCAAAAAAGGAATCGCTTTCAAAACTTTACTCCTTTTTGTTGTTTGCATTATTATTTGCACAAAAATAAATGAAGTTTATGAATATTTTTGTTGACAAATATTATTTACTTTTTTGCATCGTAAGTGGAACAGGAGAGGTGAGCGGTGAAATTGACGCATAAAACGAAAAGTGAACTTATAGAAGGGCGCACACGTGCTTTGTCCTTATGGCTTCGTCGATTATGCGAAGTTATCAAAAGATATTTTTGAAACGCCTTAGAGGAAACAGTTAGCAAAAGAAGCAACTACACCACTTTTGTAGGCAGAAAGGGAAATTAAGTTAGGCTCCATTTCTTCAGCACTGAAACAAAGTGAGTGGTTTTTATTCCTGCGGTTAAAACTATGCCCAGAAGAAGAGAGAGTGGATGATGAATTGTCGTACATGAGGAGGTTTTGTCTTGCCATGTGCTTATCTTTTGTAATGCAGTCGTAAGGCAGTGCCAAAAAATTGCACCGTACTAATATGTGTCAGTATGCAAGTATTAACGCATCCTGGCCTGAGTAAAGGAAGCGTGAGTTTCAAAGAATTTTGTTGCAAGAGAGATTTAGATGAGCGAGTGTGCGAGTCCTCAAATATGTCCAAAATTTTGTAGTTTTAAATTACAAAGTTTGATTTTGATCCATTCCACTGAAGTGTAGTAATTAAAACGTGAACAAAGGTGGACCGGTTCAAAAAGCCAAGTTGGTCATACTGATTTCATTTCCGTGTTATAAGTACACAAATGAGAAGTGAATTATGCCAAAAGGAGGTAATGCCATCCAAGAGATAGATAAGGCAGAGCACGTGGTCCCTATATCTTGTGTCTACTTAAAAGTGCAAAGTAAAAAAGGTTAATTTTTTTTTAAAAGACTCAATTTAATTTGGCAAAACGCTGGTGAACAAAATGGTCAGAAAAACCACATTTATAATGATTCTTGGTCTGCGTAGTTCAGTGTGGTTATTTACAAAAGATTCTTGTTAAAATAGAGAAGTTAAATCATGAATTTTCGCCTTAGAATAGACGATTAGTAGTCTGCCGACAAAAAACCACCTTTATTAGAATCCCTAAAGCACAGTAAAAAAGTAGGGAAATTCCGTAGATAATCATTTACGAAATATAGGAATTCTCCTCGTTGTTCTTTATCAATAAATATATCCCCAATAAGAAGCATTCTAAATTAAGTTAGTTAAAGGCTAAAGGTTGATTTTATAGACCACGTATAAAAGAATTCCAATTTACATACAAAATGCACGTCAACGTGATGGTAAAATGATGATAAATTTGTTCGAGTATGCGTTCTTGCTCCTCAGGCTGTAAATTAACTGAAAACCAATTAATTTTTCAAATTAATTGTGCTCAGTAAATTAGTGTAAGCTATGTTAAAATCAAACGTCTGTTTCTTGCCACTCGTCTTTGCTCGTGTTTTAATTCATGATTGAATAGGAACAGACTTCAACTATCACCTGACCTTTGGGTTAGGCTTGATCGGCTCCTAGCAGGGTATTTGAAATGGCTCAAATGCGTGCGGTTGATGATGATTCTGATGCAAAAGAGCTGAAGTTTCAAAAAGGTATACTCTAACCTAACTCGAGCACCGTTTTAGAATTTGAGAATGCCGAAACCCTTATGATATCCGAAGTAAAGTTTCTCCTGGAACATAGGTGTTATCATGCTTCATCATTTACACGCCTCGAATAGGAAAAAGCAGAACGAAAGCAACCCCATTCATGAGTTGGAGCTATCCAACAATTTCACAAAGACTTACAACTACGCCACCCAATTTTCTAAATTTAATAATCGCGAAACAATCGAAAGCGTTAGGAAGTAAGACTGTCGTGTTCTTTTATCACTCTTGCCCAGCTTGCTTGTTCAAAAACATTTCCATAACTTTGAGCTTGCTGCAATCGCCAACCTTCTACCCGATACAGCAGAGGAGGCCAGAGTTCTAATCCCAAGCTTAGAGGGTCCACGTTTTCCAGAAGAAGAACTTCAACAAATCTTGGACGAAATCCAGTCCAAACGAAGTTTTCAATCCTGAGTTTGCATTGTAAAAATAATAGCTCCCCCCCATTGTACATGTTTTTCACTAAGATATAATGCTTTGTTTCGAGGGTGTTTTGGGGACATCTTGCGGAAAAACAGTTCTACTTAATGTAGAAAACTCTGGTGTAACCTTACTTTGGTGTCCCGTAAGTAGGGCCAACCTCTGAAAAGCCCGACACCCAAAACCGCCCAGATAAACTTCCCCAGAGTTCTTGCACCACACGATTGGGACTCGTCTTACCATCCGCTGACTAATGGCATTCAATGGCTCACTCCTTGGGCAGTTCTTTGAGCGTTGACACCCTTCACAAGTTTGGCTCGTAGTCTCGACGAAGGCAGCGCAGCAAATCTAAGTTCGTTTCAGGGTCTTTTCGGATTTCAGTACTTTAAAGCCCTCGAGAGGCGGAACCGGGGTTTCCCTCGCCGGTGCCGTCCGTTTGCATCCGAAGAAGAGGTGCACTTGATCTATGTAAACAGGCTCCTCCGCTGCCACCCACCTCATAAACAACAAGATATGAAGGAAGATGGTAAATGCCACATATTCTTCAAACACTTATTCGCATTCCACAGTAGTGGTGTTAGATCTGTGCTTGTTTGCAATTTCGGTAAAAGCATCAAAGACCTCGCAATAGTTGCGTGCATGTGCATTCAGTATTTGAATCCTGTGTTAGCATGCTGAAGCATTGCATCGGATTCCAGATAAAAACGTGATTTTTTGGGGGAGTCAGACATCCCAAGCACACCTACCCCGATTTCTAAATAGTTAAAGTGCTAATTCCCTGCCTTAAATCCACGTAAGGACTACTCGCCAGTCGATAGCAGAAGGAATCCAAAGCAGCTGTTACAAGTGAGCCTACCCTACCTGGAAGACCAACATGTCCAAGTGAAAGAATAGGCGATATTAGTTTGTTAAAATAGTTCTTTACTGCTAAAATAACAGACGAGACAGAAATGCACCCGACTAAACTATTTTTTGGTAAATAAACAATAGAGAAGATACACGGGAACCATTCGTTAACACAAGTTGGATTATTGAAGGAAGAAATACAGGTATTGAGAAACATGGTCTCCCACTTTGTAACTCTCAAGTAGAAATGGTGAATATAAGGAAAAAAATACAAAATCCAAAAAATGGCAATACACGACTACCAGGTTAAAAGTATTGCGCCCTCACATGTACCATCAAACGCAAAAGCGAGAAAATAAAGCAGAAAATGAGCCTAAAATTATAAAACTCTTTATTTGGCAGATAAAAGTCAGTCACCATCCTGCGAATTGAGAATTTCGCCAATATTCTTCTCGAGATCATCAATCCGGGTAGACATATCATCTAGTATAATTACCATGTCAAGTAAAAAAACCAGACATTCGATGAGAAACACACACAAAAAAGAGCACAGCTGTAAATGCTTAAAAGTATCGCAGTTGAAGCCTAAACGTACTCCCAAAAAAAAGGATATTTTTTTGCACGAGCTGATCACTCATTTCCTGAAACTTTTCTTGCATTTGCGTAATCATAGCTTGAATCTAGCGCATTGTAAGCAGAAGCAAACATTTACGGTTTTGGTTAACTCCTGTATGTTTTCCGGCTCATTATCACCACCGTTTACATCCTTTTGTGAAGTTGCCATCCGAAACTGCGCAAGAGTGCAGCCTAGAAAATTCGATATTTCACCAATAAGTGGAGAAACTATAACTTTTGGTACCGGTTTAGATACCCCTACACCAGGATAACTACACTAAAAATGCAAAACAATTAATAGATAACAAAAGTGTTTTATGCAGTAGTCAACGGCAGATAAAAAAACTCCGTAAAAGCCCAGCACCTCCATTCGAATTATAATCTTAGTCCTCCTGGCCGTCAAAACATTGATACACAAAAGAATAGCATAAAACAGGCTATTTTTAATGGCAGGCAACTTATTACTAAAATTTTGATGCAATTTGCTCTAACATATAGGCCGAGCCTTTATTGAGTACAACCATTCTTTAAACAGTCGGCAATAATACCCTTATACGAAAAGTCGTTTTATATTTTTGAATTCTTTAACACATTTTTCTGCTTAAAATGCCACAACATCCTTTGTTTCACTAGGTGAAGTGCGAGGGATTTACTTGAGTTGAAATGAGTGGTATCAGCTGTCTAGGGCCTCGGCATAATCCTGAGTCAAACTCTGGTCTTACCCCATCGTCAGTTGCTGCTTTTCAGACGAATGATCCTGATAATCAGAATCCCGTTTTAACTGATAGTGAAATTGATGCAGACTACTTTGTAAAGGTTTATACTGACCTATTCGGGTTGGAGAGAAGTAAGAGTAGATTCTTAATCCTACACATTTCAGTTCCATATCCCAATGCTCAATCTACTAAGCAGAGGATTATAAACATAGAAGCAATAGAAAAGGATATTGAGAGTCGCTTCGACGTTACCCTCAGCCATATACCTCCTGACCACATTATCAATCGGGTTCCTACGGCAGTCAAAGATCTAAATGAGATAATGGGAAATATCGATGTTGCTAGGAGAACAAACAAGTGTTTTGCTGAAGAAGTATCTGCGAGTGGTCTGCAAAATGGTAAGCAGACTGAGACTCGTATTCTTCTCTTCACTTTAGTCTAATATTACTACTTGAAAATCTTCTCTTCCTATTTTCTTAGCTAACTCTCCTGAAATACCCCGTAGGACAGTGGGCTTTAATTTGCCGAAGTTTCCTGAAAAGTCAGTGGTCGGCAATTCTCTGTGTCGGCGCCTTTTGCGGGAAAGTTTTGCCTTGATTTCACCCCCAACTACACCTTGCGAAAAACCCGCCGTGGAAATTGTCAGGAATCCCTCTCCAAAGAGCGCAACGGATTCAGGAGTTACTGCAGTTGCAACGAGGTCTGTCGTTTCCGAATTAGGTAGCCTTGGACCGTCTATTGACACCATTTCTTTCCTCTCTGAAAAAATTCGTGAGGCCAAGTGAGTCCAGATTTTTCCTTCTTGTTTTCATCAAGATTTGGATAAATATTCATAGTTTGTGCGCTTTTTGCAAAGAACGCAAGCTGTTGTCTTGTGCGGTCTGTGCAAGAAGGGCTTCCGTCGACATTGGAGACCAGATTTGTATGAGTTGCGGAACTGTCTCATTAAATTGGGTGAAGGTATTGAGGCTACCGTCGCCGCGATTGATACGCTGTCGCCAAATCCTTTGGATCTGCCTGATCCCGATGAAACTACGGCTACCAGCATACCAACGGATTCAGATGAAGTGGCAGAGCTGTATAAACTCAATACTGAGTGCGAACGAACATTGGCAGAAAAGAGCAAGTAAGTCACATTGACATTCGCGGTTATGTCAGCTTGAGTTATTTTCTTGTTTGTTTTTATTTGTTTAGGTTGATGTTGGACAGCGTCACGCACTGTGTGCGACAATTAAAAGCTGCCATTAATCCAATCTCAGAAAACGTGAAAAGCGTCGTTATGTAATCGTGACATAAGGGATTTGTATATTTTTGTATTTTATATGACATTTGTGATAAAAGTAAACGCCTTCTTATTCCGAGTGTGTCAAATTTTGCGGGTTTATTTAGGCTGTAATGCGAGTGGATTAGTCTGTCATTCGGTTCCCTGGACACATCCAAATGTGGGATCTCAATTGCGACCTCGTTGAAGTGGTGTTCGCCCATATTGACTCCTTGAATGGTTTATCTCTTTTGCCGTTGCGATGCTATTCAGAATCCCGTGCGTTTTGATGGAGAAAGAAGGGGGAAAGACGCCACAATAGAAGTGATGGTGGTTTGTAGCTTATTTGGGGGGCCATTATCACTTTGCCCTTTGTTGGGGATTGATTCCTGGCGCGGGTAGAGGTCGGGAATCTATGGCTTTGCGCTGTGCACGGTGTACAAGGTGAGGACAGGTTACGGTTACGATGCCCTCAAAAGCATTCACCTGTATTACGATCTGAATTCTCAGTACTCACTTTAGTCATATTGACTCCAGTCAACTGTCACCTCAAGAAATGATGGACAGCCAAGATATCCTTATAATAAGTCAGGACCTGGCCTTAACTCTTAGGTATTCATCTACTATGGCCAACATTAATTGTCCACGTGCTGACACTGTTACGCTAAACTCGATATATCTCGGCTTCGTGAGTGTAAGACAGCACGAATATTTGTTTGGGGTCAAGCCAGAGGTGAATTCTTGATGAGCATTGCTTAAAAGTGAAGCAAAGCCTTTGTGCTGAAAGTTATACGTTCCGGCTGCATAAATGACTATGACTATCGGTAGCACGATAGTCCGGTCACATTGCTATTGTTGGCAGATCATCAATACTGCGACATATACATAACAAAAATTCAGGGGCAGTGAACGCACTTAGAAATTTACTTTACGTCGTACACCACCAACATATCCAAAAGACTGGCATGCTACTGAACTGCTGACCTCTTACTAGTCAAACAGGACGGTGTTTATTACCCAATCGCGACGAGACATTTCTGAAAATCTAACATGGCAGGTTTTTGAAACTGTGTTCTTGCAATAGGAGTGTTAAGTGGTGTTCTCAAATACTTGAGTCACCAAATTAAACTCTCGTTATTTATAGGCCTTTATCTGTCTGATGTTCACCTCCAGTTATTTGAATATCTTGTTGCTAAAGTATAACAGGGTTTCTCCCAATTTGCTTATTCTCTGCTCCTTTTTATGCTAGTCATTTGGACAGATTGCAAGATATCCATGGTTAAGATGTTCCAAATGCAGCAATGGAAATGCATGCCAGTGTCCTCTTAGAGACTTGTTTCAGAATAATATCGACAAATTATTGCCAACTCTGGAATATCTACCAGACTTGGAGAAGAATTTCATCCCTCTGGTTGACTCGGCTACTGTTCCTGCCCAAGATGTAAGTAAACCTTTCGGGTGCACTTTTTGCTTGTTTGATCTCCAAAACTGATTAAGGTCTTTAGACTATCGACAACGAGGGTGGTGAAAGTACGTACTACCTCGAACGATGGGCACACTTGATAAATGATCTCTGGATCGTCGATGCAAAAATTGATAAGGAGAAGTTTTTCCCTTCTTGATGTCTTTAAATTTGTATGTTTTCTATCAAAGCAAGCTGTGTTTGCACTAACAACGTGTTTTGGCGCCTTTAAAGGCTCAATTGGAGCAAAATTGTAAATCACCTTTCCTGTCGCTTGGTTTCTTTGAAGTCATTTAATATATACATTGATTGATTAAAATCATCTGAGCTATTGAATGCGTTTTTTTTGGAGCGTTGGTTTGCCAGACTTTCATCTAAAGGCCCTTTTTGTACGCTTACTTTTTTGAAAAATGCACTAAATGGGCGTCTTTAAAGTGTGCAAAACCCTACGTATTGGGACAGTTCATTCCGATTGTATCTAGCGTGAGTCCGTGATCAGGCATGTTGACGTTGGTGATTTGCCATTTGCGGCAGGAGGTTGGGCATCTTTAGACCTCCTATTGCCACGGCGTTCGAACATTAGGAGCCGGAAAGTTCCGGTAAGCCAACACAAATACGCGACAAGCGTCACTCCTCTGCCTAGCGTCATCCTTATTTCAAGCGTCGTCCTCGTTAGTTCTCGCGGTGACTTCTATCTCGACTGCTAGGGTCTTCCTCTGATCTCTAATTAATCATGAGGTAGGAGGGCAGAAAATGTGTCTAGAGTGCTGCCTATCCCATTCTTAGTAGTGCGTTCTGAACCTTGCAATCCTGGGTGAGCAGACTGTTCAAGGATCCGAACCGATGCTCTGGAGCTGGCATATTCCGCATACCACTTGCTACTGGCAGGAGCTTCTATTTAAAAGCCGCATAAAGTGAAGAATGTCGCAACTGCAGCTCGTAACGCACTCGCCGTTTTACCGCTGATTATGCGAAAACCAGGACTGGGAATGTACGTACAGCCTCAGTTTTCTAGTGGGGATACTGTCCCAAACCAGGAAGGCTCATTAAAGTACAGGGGGGTAGACAGGCGAGACACAGGTACCATTGCAGCAGTTACTATCCCAAGCCATAAAGTGAAATCCACATGACGCCTGCTATGCTGTTCCTCATGAAACTTCTCATTTCGTGCTCGTCGACCCCATTTTCCACGACTTGAATACCCCGAGTCACAAATCCTTTAGTTCTATTAAGTATAAGGTGGGTTATAAACGGTTTCCCAAGAGTCGGTCTTTAGGTAGGTCACATTAACTAATTTTTACATCACCTTCTATCTCCACGACAGGCCTACTTCCGGGCTTTGTGAACTTCCAAGCGTCAGAAGTAAATTAAACGCCGCAAAGCAGCAGGAAGTGGCGTCCCATTGCTGCACTCTCAAAGTTTACGAGGAATCCCTTAGTCTGATAGATGGTCTGCATCCTAATAATTATTATTATGTGACAGCAATCTTCCCATCCCAACCATCAGAGGGAGGAGGACTATCGAAGCCGAGACAGCTCCAGAAAATATTCACCGCATACACTCAAGCAGCTTCCGGCTGGAGTGCTTGTCTTGTCAGAAGTCTTCTAAGTGAGAATTTTGCAACCTTTTCATAGCTGTGTGTTAACATGAGGTGCGTAGTCAAGTTAACCACCTCATCTGTCGGAGATAGACAGATGAGCTAAGAACTAATCAACTAAGCAAGCACATAAGGATGAAAGAGATTTCATTGGCAGGCAGTGTTCGAGGAGGACTAGAATTGATGGGATCGCGAGGGAGATAAGAAGGGAGCAAATTTCATTAAGGGGCACGAAAAACCATTCTCTGCCTTTGCACCACTATTCGCAACGAGTAGTTAAGGCGCTGGATGAGTAAGGACGAGCCGAGAATGAGGGAGGGAGAAAAATAGCCGAAGACACAAGGCCTGGAGCAGAGTTGGGAGGAGGTGGGAAATGGGCGGCTACAGGATAGCAAACGACGATGAGAGCATACACGCACGCAGGTGTGGATGATGATATTTACAGAGTATCACCGCGTTCAGAAAGGGATAAAGAAAGAAGAGCAGAGCGGTGTGAGTCTAGTGCAAACATCCGGGACGACCGACTGGGGGGTCCGCAGAGGCTGCAGCTGCCGCTGCTGCAGCCGCAGCAGCTGCTGCCGCCGCGACATTCTGCGCATTCGGTCCTCCCACGCCCGCCGCAACCGCCGGTGCCGCTGTCGGTACTCCACCCACCGCCCCCATCGTCGGACGTGACTGTGGGGGCTGCACCCCAACGAGATTGAAGTGGGTGGCAACCCATCGTAATTGCTGCCGATATTCTGCTCGCTGTTGTTGATGCGCTGCTAGCGCAGCAAGATGTTGTTGGTGAGCTTGCTGCTGCTGCTGCTGGGCTTGTTGCACTTGCTGTTGCTGTTGGGCCATGGCGGCAGCGGCAGCAACAGCAGCTGCGGAGTTGGCATCAGAGACGACATAGAGATTGAGCGGAGTAGAACCAGCTCCACCGCGGTCGGGATAAGCGGGATAAGCAGCAGCAGCTGTGGGCCACATTGGGTTTTCAGCGTCTACAGAATCGTTAGTGTTCCAAGCGACTGCAGGAAGTGGTGGGGGTGGAGCTGGTTGGGCTGACGGGGTGGTGGTCTTCATTGATAGAAGGTAGGAGAGAACAGCACCCGTTCTAGCGCCACTTGGTTGGCCTTGATGACCAACCAATCCGCGTTGCTGTTGCTGCTGCTGTTGTGCCTGTTGCAGAGCATGGGGATGAAGCTGCATCTGTTGTGCGGGTGGCTGAATGCTCACTGCAGTTGGCTGGGGGAATTGTGGCGGTGGTATGTGATTGCGTGATTGATCTATAAAATAAAGAAGGGCTAAATTACACATATCCTTCTCAAGTCCTCAATAAGGAGGTTTAACAAACCAGCTTTCTCCTCCTCCTGATTGGTGTGATGGTGTCCGTTTCCGGAAGTGACTTTGAGCTGGGCACCGCCTTCGTGGGCAGGGGGGCAGGCGTTGCCATTTCCAGTGGCAACAGAAGCTGCGTTTGTGCCAGCCTCGTTACCGGATATTTTGAGGAGGTTCCAATCAAAGACAATGTCGTGGGTGAAGTGGTTCTTCTTAAAGAGGTTCCGAAGCAGACGACGCAGGTAGGAGTAATCGGGTTTTGCTTCAAAGTGGAGGCCCCGACAGTAGCTGAGGTACTCCATCATCTCGGCTAAATAGAGATGCAAAACCTCAAAAATAGGTAACCACTTAAATGGTTGCGAGTAGACAGAAAGTGTGCCTCACAAGGATAACCGTCGCAGAGGGCCTCAATAGAAGTCTCCATCTTCTTCTCGCAGATGCGTTCATATTTCTGACGTTTGTTGATGGATTTCAAGCCCTGCCAGGGTAGACTACCACGTAAAAAGTACATCAGCACATAGCCCAGGGATTCCAAATCGTCACGACGCGATTGCTCTGCACAGAAACCCAGAAGGCGCCTCGATTAGGGAGAGGAAATGGGTTGGCTAGACAGCTGAACAGCCCTCAACAAGCGCGAAAGGGAATGGGAAAAATTCTTCATGGGGACAAAAAAACCGCATTGAAGACTTCCAGCATATCGATTGACAACATGAATCTTCCATTCAATGGACCAAAATATTGAAAGGTCATTATTCACCAAAAAGGATGGGGAATTTACTGAAAAAAAAGTCCAACTGTGAAATGAGTTATGCTGATTGGTTTCAGATTTGCCGTTAAAATTGGTGGTAAATTTCCAACTCACATCAAATTTATTTTCCAGAAATAATTCATATACATCATCGTCACTTTTACACAAGAAACGAATTTATTACTGATAACGTCAACATTGATATAACCGTGTTGAGAGATTCCCCAAATCAACACCTACCTCTTCCTCATATGGTCACATTTAGTTGTTAATGGATGTGTTGATCACACCACATTGGAGTCACGTTTAAAAATAAATAAGTGCCCAAATTCTTTGATGAGCTAAAGACCGTATTTAACGAATTCGCAGGATTTTTAGGAATCAGGAGTCTCGAGGCTAACTTCCAGCACTGCCTCAATGTAAGAGAGGCCTACACAACGCTCTACCTTTTCTCACTGTTCCAAAAGGCCAGAGCATGCGACCAGCAGGGTTCGTTCACTGTATTTATATTAAAATTTATGTTTTACGTGTTTGTGTCGGTGGAAATGGCACCTGGCGCCAAGATTGAATTCGGGTAACACGACACACGTGCATGCCCAACTACTGGCACCAGAGCGGTGACCTCAACTGCATCAGGTTCAAATTTCGCACACCATGTTACTTCACTGTAAATTGTTTGAGGGGGATTCGCTAAGTAGATTAGGTGTATTTGAACCCAAAAAGAAGATAGATGTGGGTAGAGAGACAGGTAGGAAGTAAGGTAGCAGGACTAACTACTCAAACGGTGAATTAAAGCTTCTCAACAATTAGAATGGAACAGCGACCACTTGCGTTTAACGTGGAGGAATCAAATACGTTGACAGTTTACTTACCTTTTTACACAGAAGTGTGAGAGTGCAAACACTAACCACCGTGTCCGGCATCGAAGAATTCCGTTTGCACTAGTCATCTTCGCCCCTTGGGATAAATCTCTCAGACACCATGTGCAGAGAACCGTGTTATGCAATAAACCGTCTCCCACCTCTCCAAAAAAGGGAGAACTAATTGTCAGTCTAGCAACTACTTTAGTCCACATTTCAGTGCTTGTCTGGGAAGTTTGACACACTCCCCTTTTCTCCAGAGCGAAACTACTTATTCGATGTGGGACAGCCATTGAACGTGCGACAAGAGGAAAAGTACATCCAACAAGTAACAAGTGGATGTGTGTGTGCAGGTGTGCATGAATGCGCTCACTCGCTTGCACTGTTTCTGGCCAATGCTGCTGCCACTGCCAAGGTGACTCACCGGCAGAGACGGCAGCAGTATCACCGACATCATCATCACCATCATTAGCGCCGCTACTACCACCTCCGCCACCACCACTACTGGGATGTAAAGTGGGTTCGCAGAAAAATTGCTGCACCGACAGCTACCAGAGGCGCCACTATCATGAAGGTTGCCAAGTGGTAAAAATTTACCACTATAATGGAAAAGAATGGAATGGTAGAATGGAATAGACACTTGGTTAAAGAAGAAATGAAGAAGAGGCGGAATGATGCTTCATTCTGCAGAAATGGATGCAGTGATTGCATTATTACTAGATTTAGCACCTCATTCAAGGTTAATTTAAACATCAATCAGAAAACAACAGCTCAGCGGTTAACTTGGTAAGAATACCCACCCAGTAATCGCGTTTAGATCAATCCCCTCAACCCTAAATAATACACTTTACCGATGCAAAAAAGATGATTATGATCGATGGGAACCTTCAAGGTATCCTCATATCTCAGTGCTTTATAATGCCACTTCATAATTCATTAATTTTACGATTGATAGATGTCCCCAGATTTTACATGACCCACCACTACTACCACTACAGATCTCGGTCACCTCTCGTTGCGTCCTGAACTTCAAATATGTCATTCTAACAGATTCCACTCATTACAGGGGAGTAAATTAGCTAATCTGAAGCAAGACAGCGATCAGGAGAAATTCGCGCTAGGTGGGAAAAAAAATTATTTCAACCAAATGCACTCGACCAATCAAAAGCCAGCCGCTTTGGTAAATCTGAAAGTAGAGTGCATGGCAGGTTCTTCGTCAAAAAAAGGCACAAATACAGATCCATCAGCGACTCGACCAGAAGGGAAGCACGCACTTCACTGGGAAAGAGATGAGCACAACAGACCATCTATAGGTTAGGAAGAAAAAACAGTTTCCGATAGGGTCTGTACTTGCGTCTTCAGCTTGCTCGGCCTTGGAGGTGAACAACAAATGCAGTCCATTTAGGGCGGATAAATATTAGATACCAACCACATCCCTCGACTAACCTATGTATAATGCCATCCTAAAATAACCAAATCAGACATGTATTTGACCTGGAAGCGGCGGAAGGCCCTGTGAGAGTCTTGAGGACCCTTGGACAGCCAATACCGGTGCTCAAATAGATTTCACCAATGAAAATCAGCCAATCAATTGATCTGGGGAGAGAATACATGATGAGTGCCGAAAAAAATCCTGGGAATCATTGCTTTCCTCCAAAGAAAAGGCCTGACCGAAGTACGGCAATCCCGAAAGCTAAACATTGGATCGAACTAGAGGGAAAAAAGGCACAAAAGAGACGGAGGCAATTTTAAAATGACAAAGTGACACAGCGACCTCTGAACACACGAAAGTACCAAAATTTTTGGCGCCGCGGTTACACATACACTGCCCACCGAGTCAAAAACAATGAAAGGCAAAATTGCGACGTTTTTTTCTCCCCCCCTACAAGGCCACGCTAATTTTAAAGTAAAAAAAGCAAATTTTAGATTAATATTTGAGCTACTACGATGACATCCCATTCGTTAGAAGGAAAAAAAGGGAGCAGATTATGTCAAAAAATGTTACTGCAATTGATATTCGATATGCGAGTTTGTTCATTTTTGGAGGCAAATTTTGAACTCTGATGTTTATAACTCCCAAAAAATCTCCACTTGATTGATAGGCAGTTGCCTTCATCGGAGAGGGAAAAGGAAAATGACCCACTATTGCTGGCAAAGTTGCTTTGACTTTAGAAAGCGAACAAATTGAGAACGAATACTATCATAAAATGCAAGTCAGCCTTTTTCTCCACCAATTTAAATTAAATGAAGTAGAAAGAGGAAAAGAGGAAAGGTATTTGTCATTCATCTCATAAAAGGAGCGGGTGAATGCAAAAGGAGGCAAAAGAGGCAGCCTAGTGTGAAAATGTCCGCAAAACTTGTGTAGAGGGGAAAAGAAAAGTGATTTATGACAGCAGAGGATGATTCACATTCGAGTGAAAATCGTCACGGACACGCAAAGATGATTAAAGATGTGAGGAAATTAAAGAAGGTCTTCCAATTGCTATGATGCTACAATTGCGCACATTTTGCGTACCGGTAGTGGACGCCGGCGCTTAGTGTCTAGGTAACCAAACAAATTTTTGGAATTTTGTAAGAAAAAAAATAATAGGAAGGATATGCTGCCACATCCGCATACCCTGCACTATCGTGAGGCTAGTTCTTCAAGTTTTGTTTATCACCTCTGCTTGCGGGTGCACAATTAGGTGTTCATCATATTTGAGGCGGAATAAACCGTTAGAAAATGAAAGCAGGACCAACTGAGAGGTGACCGGGACCAGGCTATGCCTGCCCCCGGCACCAGCGGAATTAACGGACACCTTGTGTTTCAGTAAGAAGGGACTTCAAACTATCTATTGAGGGAATATTGTACTGTAAAGGGGGGAGAGAAGGCTTTGCGAATTATTCCCCACTTATTCAGTTTTACCGGGGCAAAATAACAAAACCTTGCGTTTCTGTACGCTAGCTTGATTAACAAACGCTAAGAAATCTTTAGGAAACTTTTAACCATGGTTAGAGGCGCATTCTAACTAGTCGCCATTGTAAAGCTCATTCAGAGAAGGAATGAAAAATAAGGGACTGAGCAACAAATTTTGAGAGAAAGACATCTCATTAAAGAGTCGGCCTTAATAGCGAGACAGGTTAAGACTCTCAAGTTCGGTTTCGACTCAGTGAAGGAACGCCTTAAAACAGAGGTAAAGCCAACTCCTTCATTTTATGACTTACCAATTCCGAGGTGGGTGTTAATACTGGCGTAGCGAGCAGTACCGGTGAGGTTCTTATTCTCCCGGTAGGGGATGTGCAGGTGAGTGCGTGGATCGCGATACCGCTTGGCCAGACCAAAGTCGATGAAGTAGACCACGTTGCCGCGCTTCCCGAGACCCATCAAGAAATTGTCCGGCTTGATGTCCCTGTTCAAAGCACACACAAAAAGAGATTGCTTGGACATGAGAAAACGAGCTTCATTTTCTTGGTATATCAAACGGGAGTGTCACAGCGATTAAAGAACTTGCGATAAATTCTGGTCCAAGTGGAATCCATAAAGACAGTCATATCTAGACTACTTAGAACCTCACTGAACCCATGTCCGCTGAAACTAGCATCTCTTAGTTAACAAGTTTTGGGGTAGGCTATTGAATTCTGAATGGACAAGAGAAGGAGAGCTCATGGTTATTTCACCTGGTGACAGGGCTACAGTAACTCGTTCATTCAATTCGACTATCCCTGCTTCTTTACTTCTTTAACTTCCCGTTTGTAATGGGTGAACCAAAAAGGCTTGTCAAAGCCTGCTGTGGTTAATGCGAACGCAGCTGGAGATGATGAATGGACGGATCAAGGAAAAATATACGGAACCGGGAGAAACGAGTAATTAAGTACTTCTATGACGGGTGAATGAATCCAAGGTGGGAAGATGATGGTGATAATGAGGGATGGACCAATGGTTGATGAAAACGATGGGTGGTTTTATGTATGGGAAGCATATGAAAAACCAAAATAAATGAATGGATGGGTCAGAAAAGGACTGGCACATGAAGGAGAGTCAAGGGCTAATGGATTTTAAATGGATGAAAGGAGTAAGAAGGTACAGAAGAACCCTTTTTTCTGTCTAGTGAGAATGCGGTAACAACCAAGGCTTGAGTACTCCAATCCCCCCTTTCCTTCTTCCACCAATCCATTTGATTGGAGTGCCCACTGTGATCCATCATTCAAACATTATGAGAAGTAAAGGAATGATGACGACAACAGCCAATCCGCTCCGCCTCCTCCAGCTTAGTTGCCTACCTCGGCCATTGGCAATGTAATCAACATGAACTACTGGCGTTTGCCGAACGCTGCTACTGCCGATTCACAGATGAATGAACGCAGCAGGAATGGATGTGTGGGCGGATCAGGGAATGATAAGTGGATAAATAAGCAAATGTAAGAATAGGCGGATTGTGGATGGATAGAGCTGAAGGGTAAGGACGAATGGGATGGATCCGATAAGGAGAGATGGAAATAAACCCGGCTGGAATCAAACGAAATCTCGCCATTGCGGTTTTTTCCTGTCTGATACGAAGAGAATTTTGTATTGAGCCTCCCTCCTTCACCCTTTTGACTCTTTGGTTTAGTCACTCGAGGTAGTCGAATAACCTGCCTTTGTAAAGCACACAGAGATAATTCCAACTGTATCTATACCGTTGTCACCATCTCTCAAGCGATGATCTGTCAAAAGAGATGGACGAGTGAAGTAATCCGTGCAGGAGTAAGGAATGTACGATGACGAATCACAAGAGGAGAGAAGAATATTAGGTGGGAATCGCCTACAGCATGTAAGGGGAGCAGTGATTTCTTTCACATAGCAAGAAAGATCCTGTGGTATCTAACAAAAATTGGTTAAATTCCCAAGGAAGTGAAACGCTTTCAATGAACCCTCAAAAGTTTGTTTACCTATCTTTCCGGATTTTTGCTTCAAATGGTTGATCTGGTACCGCTTGTTGGCTATTCCTAATGCTTCAAATTCGTGCGCAGTTTAAAATGAATGAAGAGACCTGAAATGGACAAGAATTAATTGGGAAAGGATGGAGAGATTGCGGAAAAGAAAAGCGAATTCAGAGAGGATAGGTTAGGCGTGGGGAGATCCAACATGGAATAATGGATAGACTGGATACAGCTTAAGAACGAGGAGACAAACCTGCGGTGGCTTTCAGCAGGTGACCGCGGTTTGAATGAATCACGTGTTTCGTTGTCAGGTCTAAAGTCGCCTGACAAACATTTTTCTTTTATCAGCTGTTATTTTAAGGTGTCTATGCAGCGCTATGGTAGAATTTACTGACACCAGAACTGACTTCAGCGCCCGACGCCTAGACTGCAGCCAGGTTGTGATCAAAAAGCAAGCTAATCTGTGACATGACCCTCAAGGAATCAGGATTTGATTGACTGGTGCATTAAAGTTACTACCGTGGGTGACATTTGGGAGGGATACAAGCAATGATGCTTAATTAAAGGTTGTAGCTGAGGCTTAAAAACCTAAGTTATCAGGACAAGGAGATGTGAAAAAGAAAAAAACGGCTTTTGAATAGTTCCGTTGTAAAAAAACCAAAAAAAAAAGAACTGCGGTTCAGTGGAGCGGATAGCTGAAGGAAAAGTCCCATTCCGGAGGGCACTTTTGATATTAAAAGTGGGCCACTTGTTAAGTGGGACAGATGAGCTGAGAATAAGGTGGACAATGAGGCCAAAGCAGTTGCAATCAGCCAGTCAATCCACCTATCCAGAATTCATTCAAACCATAGTCACTCCTTCCTTACCCCACAATGGATCGCATCTATTTGGTTATTCATCCACTCAGGACCTACCTCGACCTTCCATCCACTCATGTCTGCCCGTTCACTCATCCATCAAACTCAGGCTACACACCAGTTAACTTTAGCGGCCGAATCACTTAAAACCACAAATTGCCAAGACAGATGAGTAAATAACTTTGACAGCAAGAGATAAACGGAAGCAAAAAGAAGACCCCAACCATGATAGTTACTGACATACATAGAGGCGGCGAATCATGTCAACGCGTCAAACAACTAGGTTTGGTGGTATTCCCACTGGAGTAATTGACAAGATGATGGTTGGCAGACTTCAGACAAATTACCCTTCTGTTTTTCTTTTCACCGTCTCACCTTAGTCCTATAAGAAACCGGAGACAACATTAAGGACTCGCTATCATCACATGATATTTTGTCAGAAAATATATCACACTGTCAGAAGAGATTTGATTACAGCTGACAGTACGCGTGGCTGAACAGGAGACAAAATTTATGCGCCTAAAAGAAACGTTATTTAATAAGGTGACTTCGAGATTCGGTAACATGATCCAGGTTTAACCAACTGCTAGTTCTCCGCTGAAACAATTCGAGCCAGTAATGAAACGCTGATGGTAAGTGATGAGGGAACTACGAGGTCGATCAACGCAACCACGCGGTGGTAAACCCAGACCCAGAACATGGCTGCAACAGATGCCCTGGTGATAAAAGGGCCCACGACACATCGGTGACGCTAGCAGCGAAAGTGTCTTAAAAGTTTACTTTTTCTTGCCCAGAAAAAAATCGCCTGTCAGCCCACCGGTCAAAATCCCTGAAGTTGAGAATGCAAATCGGTTGTGTGGCCACATTAAAAACGGAGTGGAAACTCTTTCACTTTTCCTTCAAAGTGACCCATATTATGTCAAAATAAAATTAGAAGTACCTTTACCAATAAATAAGTAACCACTACTATGTGCAAAGAGAAGGGGAATTTGACTGCAGTTGTCCAATGCGCTATAAATAGGGGGCTGAACATGACACCACGAATTCTCGGACTAACGAACATAAAAGTGTCCTAGCACATGGAACGCCGTTTCGCACCCATTTGAAAGTCATACATCAAGCATCACAAAAAAACAAACATAGAAGGCCGTTGAATTGTTGTTTAGATGAAGCAGGAATAAATATTAAAAAAGAAGTGAAGTAAATTCCTCACTAGTATAAATGAATTACAAGAAAATGCGGTTGCTGGTGGAGGGAATTTGACGATTTAAAGAAGGATGTTATACGACTAACTTGAAGGTGGGAAATGGAGTGGTGCAATAGGAAACCAGATCGCGTAGCACAGAAAGAGACCAACTATCTAGTCTGGGCATTTGATGAACACATTACTAGGGTCGCCCCACCACATTCACTTATCTGGTTTACAGTTCTTACTCTATACCTATCCTCCCTGGACCACCAAAAGTCATACGCCTGCTTAGCCTGTATAAAACTCAACTAATGCGCTCGCAGCACATGATTTTGTGCAACTACGGCTAGTATGAACTGACGAAGAACACATGTCACATGTACGTGACGCTGGTTGCGGACCTATTAATTATAGCAATGCTAAACTGTTCAAAGAGGTGAGAGAAATGAGGATCTGCAGTAGAATGAAGATATGAAAACTCACCGATGAATAAAGTTGCGACTGTGCATATACTCAATACGCATGAGAATTTGATCGGCTAGGAGGATGACTGTTTTAAGTCGAAAACGACGACCGCAAAAATTAAAGAGGTCCTCTAAACTTGGGCCCAGCAGCTGCATCACCAGCACATTGTAGTCGCCTTCCTTGCCGACCCACTTCAGCGTAGGAATGCCAACTGTAGAACAAAAAAGCATAACGGAGGTAAGGGGGATTGTAATGTGTTGTGGAGTCACTTTAGTGCGAACGACTCATTAACTTAGATGAGTCAGTATCGAGGGAGATTTGACCTAAAAGAGGCCCTTGTGGGGATCGTGAAAATCTCTATCTGTCTATGACTTCAACTCGGGCGTATCCACTCATCTATTCAGGTCCATTAGTCCGTACATTCATATCAATTCAATCTAACTTAATCATCTATGCTACTATTTCTCTAAGCCCTTCCAGAAGTCTGCCGACGAAACTACTTATTCACGGGTAGCTGGAATCAAGACAGGCATTTCCCAATTAATTAATCTACGAAATCTGGACCCAAGCGTTCTGACAAACTGTTCAAATGCCACCTTGTGGAATCACAAATGGATCCCAAACTGCTGATCAACTACCACACGGCGCCTAATCAGATGATGGAAGAGATGAAAATGTCAACAGAAACGTTATGGAGTGCACTCGCACACACTCACACACACAAACACACGAAGCAAACACATTATCATGCCAGGGCGCGTAAACACATAAGACTCACATCCGCCCTGGAGTATTCGGTAGATCTTCGCCTCGATCAACAACTGAGGATGCTTCGCGTTGACGCATTCTAGTTTTATAGCCACCTCCTGGTTATCCGTCACATCGGTGCCTGAAAAGTCGCAAAAGAAAACTAGATGGTAGTTAGGCACGATAATGATCGGTTGTATCTGGTCACCAGACTCACCACGTATTTTGACAACTAAAAGACAAGAATCATAGATGGAATTGGCACTCCGTGTTGGCAAGGCTACACTAGACATCGCGTAAACATATGCACTAGGGTTGACAAGGGGACAAATAAAACGTGCGCGTATTTCGTTTAATTGAAAAACGATAAGGCTTAGCCGTACTTCGAATTTTACAAACACCACTTTAGAAGGCTCGAGGGAAGGAGGAAAAAAGAGAATATTTTTCCTCAACTATATTACATTAAACCAAGACTGTGAATTGAGAAGAAAAAGGAGAACAAGAAACTTTTATTCGATTAGGAAGTAAAAGAAGGGGAAACCCGTTTGACATCTTACTCAATGTCGGTGTAATCTAGATAAGATCGTCTTATAAACACAAAAAAAGTAGACAAAATAATGTTCTTAATGAAACAGGAAACAACGGTGAGTGAAGCCTGCAAATGCGGTATCCACTTTTCCAGGGTGCAAGGAGCTGTCAAAACATCCAGGTTAATGGATAGTACACATGCATTTAGGTAAAGGAAGTCAGTGTGCTCCCAAAGCACCCGTCTACTTGCAAACAAATGTTCTCATGTAAACAATCGACATACGACGTATATTCACTATAAGGCTGAAGGTAGTAATGACAGGTGAATGCGGTCAAGATTTACGAGATGCTGAAGTACCGTTCGAAAAGAAAGCTTTGCAACTTTAGGAGAAATCATTGCAGCTACAATCAACTCATTCGACTTCTGCCATGGTGACCGACACCGAGAAATAATTACAGGCATCGTTGCGGACGACGCCCATAAAAAAGTGAAGTTGCGTGATCTGATTTATTTCACTTATCCACGATTCGGCCTCCAAAACGATAGCACGGGAATCTGCTCACGGCATTACCAACGTAACCAAACCCACGACCCTTCTCAAATTACCAATTCTACTTTTACAGAAAAAAAAAGCAAGTCTATTTTTGACCACTAACAATATCTTGAATGACAACCACTTGTCACTATTTCCGTGGTGAAACGAAATAAGACACGACAGAGAGGAGAGAGAATAGGAAAAGAAACTAACAAAACAGTTGACTGATTTGCGTGAGAAGTTTCGTTCAAGCTGAGAGATTTGAACCTGGAAGGTAAGCTAAGAGCCACGTAGAAGACAGAAGTGAGCTGAGGAAAAAATGGATAAAGTAGAAGTCAGGTAATCTGTTTATTCGTCACAAGCTCACTTGCCTATCCCGACTTCACTTTCCCATTCAATTCCGACTTATTTCATCTATCCATTTATGTGTATGCTCTAACTTTGGAATGGAGTCGGCTAAAGTGAAGACCGACCATCATTCCTTACGTCTATCAATCCCCAAACTAGCTGATAATTGGAAACAGCGAGGTTCGACCAACGCTATCACCGCTCCGCCCATTTAGGGAGAAACAATAAGAGGGTGAGGGAAAAGTAAGGGAATTTAAATGTAAACCGGAGAACAAGCGACCGAGTGGACGAATGAACAAGCAGAGTCAAGCATCACCAAAGGAAAACATTGATCCACCCCCCCTGTTTTCTTGTCTGCCTTTTTACCTCCCCAAAAACAGATCACCGCGACCAAGATGGCCAAACAGCGTCACGCCATTCGACTGGTCGTCCCCTGCCCCATTCATCTTATTTAGTTGGACCAGAACGACACCGTGCGCTTGATCACACCTCTTCAAACTCTGTATATTTAGGTAGACGTTCTTTGGTAACATACTAGTCCTGTTAACCCTCCTCGCCTCCCCGCCACCCTCCCTTCCGCAAGGTGAATTCAAGTGCTATATTAGCGCTACTATTCTAAGTTCGACGGCTGCATACAACTCCTTACACGCCATAGAAGGAAGAAATATGCTGTAGATGGCTGAATTTGTGGCAACCCAAAAACATAACCGAGCTGTATCTAGAGCCACACAACAACAACTTTACATTCAAAGTCAAAATCCCGTCAACTGAGGAGCAAAATAACAGCCAACATAGTTTAGAAAACAACGATGTCACCGAAACAGTAGATCACAAGGGAAGGAAGGAAGAGGATGTTATTAGTGTGACAAGACAGCTGACCGGGCATAAACAAAGTAAAGGAGGCAATGACGACCGTGATGGTATTAGCGGAAAAGTGAAAGCGGTGAACACAACGTAGGTGTAGGCGCAATCGAACGCCACGTAGGCACGCACACACGACCCATCCACAGGCTAGGTTTGGCCTAACCCAGTTCATCTTCTCCTGACTGCTTATTTGGCCTCCTAAATGGCCACCTTTTACAGAGTGCGACCTTGACCAGGGCCTGGACACGGGTCTGTCTACCACTTGCCACTCTACCTCTTTAATGGTGTGTTTACACGGCACCGTTTAAGCACAGCCGAATGCCAGAGTTGGAGGATTTTGAAAAGTGATGTTATCGAATAGTGTGGTGACTGTAGAAAAGGTGACGGACTTCCCCCAGCCCTCTCCGAAGTGATGCACCGTGATATGAATTGGTGATCGAAAAAACCGACCAAAAGTGCATCGACAACGGCTAGATACCAAAATTCTAATTAATCCCAAGGTTTGCACAAAGAAACTTTTCCCTATGGCCTCCAGAATTCATGGGCTACGATAATCGAAATACTAGAGATCGACTTGAGGAAAAATAGTCGAATATACTGGTAATGCATAAGGAAAAGAGAAAACCGCCACCTCTATGGACGAAAGCTGCTTCAAACTCGGGAGATATGAAAAGAATCTCCATTTCTGAGGTTTAATTAGAGAAGTACCAACTTAAAGAATTCAAGCAATACGACAACTAAGCCACAGGAAAGTAAGCACTGTAACCTGACTTTGGGCATAAATCACCACCGATAAGTGAAGTCGCAACTATCGAAATGTACTCCAGATGTAAAATTCGAAATAAAACCTATCTTTCTGGGATAAATTGATACGGTGATCGAAAAACGTGGAGTGGAGAGCGTTTGTAAGAGAGGTGAGAGGCCTAACCTCCTTGCAACACTGAGTGACATGACTGATGCGTAAATCACACAAAAAAAAGCACCGGCAATGCTTGAGAGACGCAGACAGTCCTACAGGTGGGATAAAACACGTCTTTTCTAGTATATTTCTAGAGTTCATGCAACACGGAGAATTGTTCAAAGAGATATAAGAGCTCGCGCATATAAGGTAGCTTGGAGGCATACAGCGCGACAGGTTAAGGGTGGGGAGTTCAACCTATCGTTGATTTGGTTGATGCATGCGCAATTCAAGGTAATACCTCGAACGAAAAGCAAACAATTCGCCAATAGTATCAAAACAGATAAACGATTTATACAGGCTAAGAAAGCTCCATCAACAACGCGTCAGAATTTATGAAGTTAAAGTCGCCTCATGTTTCGAGGCATAACAAGGTATTATTGCTCAATATTAGGCCACAAACCGAAGTAGACGCTGGTACTGACTAGGGCCTGACCACTTCGTCAAAACGCATCCCTTTTTGACACTGGCAATTATGACAAAGAGAATGTGTAGTTGCCTATTTTGACTATTCCGCCTTCCAGAAAGTTCGAATTTGTCGTTAAAAATGACGAATGCAGTGACCATGAACAATGTAAGGCAGTCACCACCAGCCTCCAGAATGTGTGCCACGTGTTTGTTGAGATCAGCTAACCAATAGCTGACTGCAAAAACTCGTGTTACAAGCGGGCTGCTGGATATTCTCGACCTATTACGTCTATTTTAATCATAGAATAGCAGATGAAAGAGACAAACCATTAAGGATAGTCGGTGTCACATCAATGCAATAAAACCTCCAGATTGTGATTATCAATCTGCCTTTGCATTAACGACCGCTCACACATGCTGACGATAGAGCAGAACGATGTGAAATGGCGTTAGTGAGCTTGCAATGACCGTAAAAACGGTGAAGGAATTACCATCATTTCACCCTAAAATTAGACCGAACCGTGCACCCACAGGGTGGGCAAAATCTTTGTACAGATCTCAATTTTCGCGCTGATTCACCCACAGACAGTCTGATTCGGAAAAAAATAACGAATCCGTGGGAGTGGCACCTTAGATTAGCCAAATAAACTCGCCACAGCTCAGATACAATGCAGTTACTTTTGCACACACGAAATGGCCGCACAATTGCCAGTCCAGCGGAGGTTGAAATGATCGTTTACGTTAGGTGCTAAGTCAATAAAATCAGACTGACTGCACACAGCTCTTTGTTTATTTGACTGATGCAAGACTGCACCACCGCCACCACCACACAGGCTCTAAAGTCTTCGTTCCACCTATGCCTGTAGTCTCAGTCCTCCGTACAGTTATACCTTGTAACGTTTACACGGAGGACTCGGGGCGCTAGGTTAGTAGCAGCGGTAAAAGAAACCGAGTTCCATGGCAAAACGCAAGAATAGAACTTGACAGAGGAAGAGTGTCCGCTGCAGATGGCCGAATCTGTATGGGCTCACCATTCCTGACACTCGCTCCAACCTCAAATTCTGCGGAAGACAATTAACACCTGAAGTGGTACTAAGCTTAAAAGATTTCGAAAATTCGGTTGAGGATCTGGAGTTTCGGTTCCCTTCTTGCTGCCACGACATTAATCCCATAACTATGACCTGCAAACACCTTTTTACGTTAGGGCTAAAACTGCTTCAAGACAAGTGCGTTATAACATCTTTAAAAAGAAATAAAGTGGCAAAGATCTTGAGCCCTAAGCCCAACGCTAGCTCGGAACATAAGCAGAAGAACTGAGGGTACGGCGGTCAATGATTTGAGAAATCCCGTCAAAATAGACGATCGTGGTCAAGTGAATGAAATTCCCGTATCTTTGAAGGAGACAGTGGTTTTTCATAGAAGAGGATGTATAGATGGAATGAGAATGAAGACCCCGCTGCCGGAAATATTTACACAGAAACAGTAGGAACGAGGAGGAGGAGGCAAAAGAAGGTGGACACATCACTTGAACCTCCATCCCCGACCCTCGACGTTGGTGCGTGAGTCACCACTCGGTACAGATAAAACCAACAAGGCTTCTGCAAATGTGTGGTGTTCTAAGGTCAGCCACCTTTTATCGGCCAAATGAAAAAAGCCGATCAAGGAAAAAGGACAAAATTTCACACAAAGAAATGTCAAACAGCAAGCCCTAGAAACCACTCATTGGCTCAACAATTCACCAATCACCCAGCAGTCGATTTAAAAGCCAATCAAAAGAAAAATTCATGTCTGAAAGTTGAAATGACCGATTTTAGCTGGCCTATTAATGCAACCAATGGTAGGTAAAAGGTAAGTTAGTGTGTTATCATTAAATAAGGCAGTTCTATTGGGCTGTGTTTAACAAATGCCGGGAAAATAACCGTCATTTGGGACCAGTAGAACGTTCGTTTTGTAACTGCATAAATAAAACATCACAAAAAGTGCGTGCCGTATCAAATATTTGAGATCAATCAATGAAAAGGAAGCACCCAAGGACCCAACAACCAGGCTAGGAAACAACCGAAAATAACGGCAATCAGTTCTCAACGTGATCGTGTTTTTGTAAGTATCTCGGTAGGGGAAAGTAGTAGGTAACGCATCACGATTCCGATAGGAGGTTCGAATGAAAAGACGTTCACCAGGGTGTCCTCATTAAGTAAAGGACTTTCCGTGCTTTGTCGTACAAAGATCAAGGAACGCAGAGTGCTAAAGAACCAAGAAAGCACTTGAAGCTCTTCAACAGACTAAACTAGGCTGATGCCACCACTAAAAAGCGAGAGACCGCATGCAAACTCAGTCAAATGGAGGACTGATTCCTGAAAGAATACTTTTGACGGTAAGGGTGAAATTCGAGAATCAGATTTACCAGACATCTCACCTTTTAAAGGAAATAATCCCTTAAGGCATTAGAAATCAGCAGAAAAATATCACCAACGCAGTCAAACTGAAACTTGATAAACTTTGACTGCAGAAAACAGATAAACGACTAGCCTCCACAGCAGGACAAAAACAGTGAACTCGTGGAAGGGGGGACAATAATGCTAAAGCAGACAGCATAAACGAAACAAGTGATAATAGTTTCCACAGGGACGAGGGGAATCCGAAGCTGGAATAAGTGCGGACACAAGCATTGACTGAGCAAGAAACAGGCAAACACCTAAGGGTAGCGGTCATGAATGCGATGAAAATAATAACGACAAACAGCAGTGAACTCCGATCCAGATGTGAGGTCCTGGTGTTTATGCAGATGAAAAAGTTCAGCTGAATCATGAACACGAACGGACCTGTATTAAAGCACACAAGCAGGGTCCTGCCACTGTTAGTCAATACGTAATAAAAAGACGGCTGAAAAATCCACCAAGAGTTTGCCGGAACAATGATAAACAATAGTGTCTGCATCGTCAAGCAAAATAGGACTTGTACGTACATCAGGAAAGAACTACAGATCATTGAAATGCGAATGCAATAGGGTAGTGGGGTAAGAAAGGAATCAGTACTTTGCCAATATCAAGGAATTAGCACCTACCAAGATAGATTTCACCAAAGGAACCACTGCCGATTTTCCGGCCTAGCCGATACCGATTTCCAACACGTAACTCCATCAATCACCTAGATGAGCACAAGCACTCCCTTAAAAACACACAAATTAGCACAAAAGCAATGCAAACATGCAATAATATATAGGCAAACTAAGAAAAAAAACGCCGCTTTGCATGTTACAAATAATAGGATGAAATAAGCTATCACAAGTGTGTCCTTCAAAGCCAAAAAACACCAAAAATTTGGTATCAAGTAAAACTAAGAAAGCAAATGGCACAAAATGGGATGAGGGGTTACCTGGTACTGCTTGCGCTCGGGTATGTAACTTCAAGAGACCACAACAAGGACGAACAATAAATATCCCGCGGACTTTGTGGTAGCCGCCACAGACAGAACAACTACTAAAAGTAGGAGAAATGCAATCGAATTCGATAAATTTTCGACCTCTATAACTTTCTACCAGCTTTTGCCTTAAAAACTTTAAATTGCTTACAAGTTATGTGCTGGTGTTCTTTGGTCCCAAAGTCATATTTTTAATAAAGGGTGACATACACAATAGTTAATATAATGAATGTCATTAAATCCTTTCGGTATATTTTTTATAGTAGTAAATATTTTTATTCAAAATGTGCAAATCCATTTCAGAAAACTTCACCCAAACGCGCACATTTTATAAGCGCCTAGACATCACAATCATAATACCGTAGTGTAATACGATAGTGGTTTATCCCTCGGTTCTGGTGAGGCGCCACTTTTGTGCTTCGAATTAGCCCCCTTGTACCTCGCTGGGTGGGCTGGCCTTTTGGGCCATGCCAATAGCCCAGACACCTTCTCCGTGCTGAATATATATTCTGCCCGAGTATTGTGTCTTCTTTCGTCTTCAGGGAGTCCCGGGACGCTACAGTAGATTTAATTACACACCGGAAAGCAATTTGTGCATTTAAAATAAGAAAGCATGTTTGTGTTGCTTAAATATGGCAGCACAATTAAAAACAACTCGGTTTTTACTTTTATCTTAGCCCTTTAGTAGTTTTCCTACCCATGTAACCGCCTGAAATATTTGTAAACGGCCCAATTTTTATTCTTTTATTTACGCATAATGTTTCATAGACTAAAATGGGGGTACAGGGAAGGTTCGTTGAATGAAATGGAAGAGTGCTCAGTATTGTGTAGTGGAAGAACAATGGCAGGAATTAGAAGTCCGGGAGGATCATACCCAGTGTGCCCAATAGCATACACTGAGTTTAAGGATAACTTTAACCTTAGTAATGGTTGGTGCACCGTCTTTCAATCTTTATCAGTAGTTTTCCAGAGCTTAATCTTCATTACTAAAATTAATCCGATCAACAAGTGTTTCATGGGGTTTGAAACGGTGGAATAGTGGTTGTCGAAATATTCCGACTTGAAGTGTAGTCGAATTTGTGATGTACCCATTAAATCACGGACATTTACCACGCGTTCCTTCGTAAATAAAATGTCTGCTATCATTTAAAATATGCTGTATAAGAAGCCTTAAATCATCACGGAATAATGCACATTAAATGTGCTTTTAAGGAAAGAATTGGCCCTTGTTTGGTAAAAAGTTGGGTAGAATTTTAGTACTATACCAAAATATTGTTAGTATAACGATCAAAGTCCACAAAGTGAATGCCTACATCTGAACTACATTCATCCATTTTAAAATGCAGATAGGCTAAGGCATAGACTCTTCCGCACTGCTGAGGAAGTGCATCAGTTGGACAAAAATAGCCAGCTGACATACTGAAAACTAGAAAAAAGTCGGAAGGAGTGTTAAAGCGCACCATTAAGAGGGCGAAATCTGCACGCATTACTTACTGAACGTGCGTCACTGATGACGATGACTTTTCTAAAGCGATGCCATTCTGATCAACAAAGTAATTAAGATATGAGGTCTAGCCCACAATTGCTTTAGAGTAGATTCATGAAATTCCAACGCTGCTTCCATGGGATTTGGATTTGATGCTGCAATTCATACTTGCATATCGGATGTTTTGTGGATTAGGTAAGGTAATATCATTAGACATCTTACATTGTTCTGCACCTCTACTACCCGAATGTTCAAAAGTGGTCGGGAATTTTCCATCGGGATGGATGAGGAGCCTCAATTTAAGATCCGCTATCTGAATGCAATCGCTGAGCCTATCCTGTAGTTGATCTTCTTGTTACACATTTAGTAGCCTGAGCAAGAAACAAAAGAAAGAATGCATAAACAATCTGAGAGTAGGAGTGATTCAACTTCATTCAACTTCATTGAAAGGCTAGATAATGCGTAGATTAGGTTTATAACGAAACCCTCAAGATTGATTTGGAAGTAAAAAAGAATCTGCATCCGTTATTGCATTAAAGAGGTTGCTAAACACTCCTAGGTGTTGTCTCTAAAAAATATAGTCAGGCAAATATTAAAAGTGGTGAAGCCACACAGTAGGCATGTTGTAATACGATAATAGTTTATCTCTCGGTTCTGGCGAGGCGCCACTTTTGTAGTTTGAATTAGCCCTTTTGTACCTCGCTGGGTGGGCTGGCCTTTTGGGCCATGCCTATAGCCCAGACACCTTCTCCGTGCTAAATATATATATTCTGCCCGAGTATTTTGTCTTCAGGGAGCCCCGGGGCGCTACAGTGTAATATGGGTGGCTGAGCACTTTAGCTACGACGGCTTTTAACTTTTTGTTGCCTTGAGCTTTGTAATGGTCCACTGCTCCCTTTGAGTTGTACCAAATTAAGTTATTATAAACTTTTACCTTACCTGTTTTTAGTAGTCCTTAATACGAAATATTAAGATCTTATTGCGATTGCAAAGGGGTCGCTTTAGTACAACAAAGTACTTTCAAACGTCTTAAGAGCTAATTTTGCGAACATTATACAAACTGGTCTTTAGTACTTTTCCAGTAAGAGTCTTTTATTCTTCGCACAGTTTTCCGCCATTCAAAAATTCCAGGCTAACTAATCAAAGCACTGTATACCCAGGCCTGGTGGGATACACTTTTCGTCTACCCAAGTATGTTTTTTCGTTTCGATGCTTGCAAATTTTAGCGTACTTGACCATATAGCATTCAGGTTTAAGATGTAACCCACTTTTGCCATGTTAATCTTTGCATTTAGTGTCTTCATGTTTCACTTCACAGGTTTCTTTCTCAGAATAATTCCTGAGGATATGAATCTTGATAAAATTATTGTCTGTGGCCCGGACGGATTCCGTCACCAAGGAAATTGCAGTGTGTCGATTGAAGGGGTCGAAGTCACTGACCAAGAGAAAGCCTTTCGGGTAACTCGTCCCCACTTTTTTTATGGAAGGCCTTTTTCCCTTTCTAGCTTTTTTTCTATCTCATATGTACAGATTCAGTGCAGGGAAATCGACTTTCTTCTGGTGATACCTCCGCTGCAACCTCCCGCCTCCTCCAATTCTTCCTCGTCCTCGACTCCTGCCTCTACAGGAGTGCAACGCCGATTTGGCAGTGCTACCGTGCCACCGCCACATTGGTACACTTTGGGTATCGGTACAAAGGACTTCCTCTTCTTTGAAATCAGTGTTCCCACCCAAGCTGAACAGGAGCTGATTTACAAGGCCCTTGTAGAGTACAGTAAGACCTTCGCCCTTAGTCAATTTCTGGTTTTTAGTTTCCTAGTCGTTGAAACCCCTTTCTTTTTTGGTTTTCAGTTAAAATGGCAGTGTGGAAGAGGGTGAAATCAGGGTCGGTGGCTTTTAACTGTTCTGGCTCCAACCATGATGGTTGGAATGCTTTTTCACCAGAGGAGGATTTTGCGAAAGAGATCGCTTCTGGTATTGTGCGCGTCAGCCGGGTCAATGAGAACTTTAGAGTATGTATTTGATCGACTAATTGGTAAATTTTATCGCTTCTTACATTTTGAGACATTTTATCGCTAAAGCACTTGGAAATGCTTAGATAAGTGCTCGCACTTGTTAGTCAAGTACTCATTTATGTATTGAAGAGCAATATATTTCCACTTTATGAATTCTTCTAACGGTCCTAATTTATGCCGACAAAGTCGTTGCAGACATCAACGGGTCTCTAGTACTAAAGGGATTGCTTTTGACTGCCCTCTCAATGTCGCCTCAGTCACCCTAATCCAAGAAGTTCAAATTATTTTACCATTGGGGCTAGCAAGATCGTAGGCGCTTTGACTCTCCTCTCCTGGGACCTGTAAGACATACTTTAGAAGCATCTTCTATAAAATACGTTTTCATCTACTAATCCAGAGGTTGATAATCCGTTTCAATATTCGGAAGCTGCGCTTTGCGTGTCCTTCAAAAGTGTTTAGGAAACAGGAAAGGAAAAGCATGGAACTGTCAAAAAAAATAACATATCTGAGACAACATATCAGACACTCTTTATTCTGCCGAAAGAAGACTCTGGCACCACTAAGGGAATGTGAACGTTCTCGATGATGCTACGTACCAATTTAAGATTCGATTCACTTACAGGAACTTGACGGTTTTTCCCCCTCCGAGACATATTCAACAGATTTTTTTGTGCTTTTAGATCTGTTCGACCTATCCCGAAGCAAATGTTGTACCCGCTTCAATTGATGATGAGGTGATTGCGGAAGCCGCTACCGATAGACGGAATTGCCGATTCCCTGTGATTAAATACTATCATTCCGTCAAATCAGTAAGTGCTGCACGCCCAACTCAATGATCCAACTGGTAGTATGTTTACCCCGTTTTCTCCCCACCTAGACCATTTTAGCTACTGCTGCAGAGTTCTCTAGCACCAGCAGTTGTAGTGGTAGCAGAGTCAGTCAAATGCCTGCGTCGGATGACTCATCCTCGATTTCATCAGTAGTCTTGCAGCGGTGCACAGCCAACGAAAAACTTCTGGAGGCGATGCTGCCTCCTGGAAAGAGGGGCCTTATTATTGATCTGCGCAGTCATGGTAACTCCGCTGCTTCCTCAAAATTCAAGAAAACGAGTAAGCACTGTTGTTCTTTTGCATTCATTTATTTTTAAATTTGAGGTGAGGAACAGGTTTAGGGTAGGCAAGGAAAGAGAATGCTTAATAAGGCTCTCAACCTGAGAATGGCGGTGTTTTTTTCATAGAAAATAAACGGAATCGCGACCTCTCCTCGATAGTAGAAGCCAATCTACCCAAAAATACCCACAAACGATGGTCTTTGAGTCGGTTTTTTAGAGGTTAGTGGTGCTCGCTGATCCATCGCGCCTACTTCCCCTTTCCCATTCCTAATCGCTCTTATCCCACTTACGTACAATTGAGTTCTCGACCTCCTCAGTTTTGCAACTCATTGATATTCAGCAGCGTTGTTATTTTAGCCTCGGCAATATGCTCT